TATTATGTGTTTTTCTATTTCTTTAATTTCTGCCCCTATAGATATTGTTTTCTTTTTCTCTTCACATTTGATTTTCTGGGATTTCTTTCTGATTTTAAGATTTTATTTTTCCTTTTTCTCCCCAAAGCCCCCTGGTACATAGTTGTGTATTTTTAGTTGTGGGTCCTTCTAGTTGTGGCATGTGGGACACCACCTCAGCATGGCCTGATGAGTGGTGCCATGTCTGCACCCAGGATTTGAACCTGGGCTGCTGAAACGGAGCATGTGAACTTAACCACTCAGCCACAGGGCCGGCCCCTCTTTCTGATTTTTTAATTTGGATTGTTAGATTACAGTTGTTTGTTCAGCCTTTTCTCCTTTCTGACATATGCATTTAGGTTATGCATTTCCTGTAAACTCAATTTTAGCTGTATCCCACAAGTTTTGAAATAGAAGTATTTTTCATTTTTATTCAGTTGAAAATATTTTCTGATTTCCTTGTGATTTCTTTGACCTCATCAGTTACTTAGGAGACCATTGCTTAATTTCTAAACGGTTGGGAACTTTCTAGTTATCTTTTCGTTACTTGTTTTTCAGCTTAATTCCACTAGGTCACAAGATGTACTCAAATCAATCCTTAAAATCTTTGGAGATGTGCTTTATGGCCCAGCACATGTTTAGCTTTGGTAAATGTTCCAAGTTCACTTGAAAAGAAATTTTATTATGAAGTGCTCAGCTGTGGTTTATCTTCCTTGGCATTTGTTGTGTGGCTTGATGTCTTTTGATGATTTTGAAAAACTCTCAGTTGTTCTCTTCAGATACTGTTCTGCCCTATTTTCTCACCTGTCTCTAGTATTCCAGGACACATTAGGCCTTTTCATTGTGTCCCATGTGTGTCTCTTCTTGTGTTTTCCATTATTTTGTCTCCCTAACTTCAGTTCTTCTGTTACCTAATTTACTAATTTCCTTCAGCTTTGTGGAACCTGCCATTTAACCCATCTATTGCATTCTTAATTTCAGTCATTGTATTCTTTTTTTAGTTAGCATTTGTCTGCCAAGATTCTCCATGTTGTTGTTTAATTCTTATAATAAACAATTACTCTAAAGTCTTGTTCAATAACTGCAGTGTTTGAATCTTCTGTGGTCTGTTTCCCATTTCTGGTTTTTCTTCTCTTGGTTATTGATTAAATTTATCGTTATCTTTTTATATGCTTGATTTTGTTGTTTTGTTTCTCATTTTCTGTCGGATATTGAAAAACACATGTAACAATGACTTGAAGCTCTGAATGATGGTATCTTCCTCCAGGGAAGGTGCTTTTGCCTCTGGGCAGCTAGGATGGGGCAGATTGCCTCTGTCCAGTCGAACCGACGTGATTCTGAGTCGGTTGTCAGTTGTTGTCAGGGCTAGTTTATTTCTGATTTGCCCTGTATTCTAGTGTGTAGCGTTTGGGATCCCAACCAAAAGCCTGAGGTGTTTATTAGGGCCTCTCTACTTTGGAAAGCCCTGAATTCCAGTTTTTGTCTTTCTAGCCTTGTGAGACTGCCAAAAAGTTTTCTCAGCCTCTCAGCTGCAGCTTTTACTTTTGGAATTGGCAATCACCATGAGGGAAAAAGTCAACCAGAATGTGGGGCTTACCTCTTGGCTGCTCTTCTCTGTCTTGTCTCCACAAGGCCTCATTGCCTTGGTAGCTCTTCCATACCACCATACCTTCAAACAGATGTATTTCGTGTTTCTTCAGCGTTTTCTGCTTGTCCGCAGCAGGAGGGTTGGTCTAAAACAACATAATCAGCCATTGCCTGAAACATGATCAGATTTTGTTTTAAGCACCATTCCTTCCAGGGGAGCCTGTGATCTACTGCAAGAAATACACACACTGACACTAATGCTGGTGGGCAGTCTATTGTGAGTACTTACCGGTCCCCTATTGATGTGTGTTATTTAAGTATATGCTAAATTCTCACAAGTAAGTCTTAGGAAGGGGAGATTAACGTAATATGAAAATTCGTTATGTTGAAGCTTCTCTTTGAAAGAAATGTGCGCTGAAGTAGTGAATATCCCCAGTAGTCAATATAGATGACAGCTCTTATATTTGGTGCAAGTGGTAGTATGGATAGGTGCAAGTGGTAGTATAGATATTTGACTTAATTGTATTTTTCCGGAGGAACACTAGCAAAGACCCAAACTACAGCTGCTCAAACCAAAAGTTCTAGCTTTGATATTATAAAATCATTACAAATGTTAGACTGGTACCAATTCTAGGAAGTGAACCCTCCTCTGACCTCCTTGTGCATGGCATTGATATCTCCATGTGTCTTATAAGACTTGTCATTTTCCAAAGTAGGAATATTTACCATGGCCTTTAAAACTTTAAACCTCTAGCTTGCATTTCTGACCTTGTCCTTTATTATTCCTTTGTATATACCCTATATTTAAGCCAAACCAGAAAATTGATTATCTTCTAAGAGCACTTAATAACTTTTCTGCTTCCTTCTCTTTGCTTGTTCTCTTCTCCATCTGGAATGATGTGTCCATCCCACTACAGATCTGGAAAGTTTGTCTTTCTTCAAGTGTTTTTTGCCAAATCATGAAGAGCCATCTCAGATGTCACCTTCGTCCTTTATTGATTCTTCTAAACAAAGTCTGCGTAATCTGTTTCTTCTTGGGCTCCTTTTTAGAGACCTCTTTTATCTTTTGGCTATTATAGTCAATTTGTATACCATTCTATCTCTTTCCAGATTGTAAATTTCTTGATGTTGGGAATGGTCTTGCTTATCTATGCATTCTTTGTAAAGTATAAAGGTGTAGTGCCTGTGTGAAGTAGAAACTCGACAAAAACTGAATTACAATCCAGAACTAAATGGGCTGCTAGACACATGGACTGTTTCTTTTTATGACTTGCCTTGTAGTCTTTGCCCACTTTTCACTTGATATGTTTACTGTATGTATATGTAATTGCAAGACTCCCATTTTTACATGTTAAGGATATTAACTCATCACTTTAATTGAAAACATTTGCCTTTTAATTTTATTTGTGGTTTTGTTTTTGTTTTGGGGTTTGTCTTCTGCCCATGTAGATTTTATTTCTCTTTTATGGAAACATTAGTATGGTTGAAAATTCAAATGGTACAAAGGGTATACAATAAAGTCTCCTTCCCGCGTGGCACTATTTTTATATGGAAAGGTTCTTAGTTTTTATGTAACAGTCTGTCTGTTTTCTTTTGCTTTTGGAATAGAAAGTCGTTTTCCTACCCCAAGTTATTTAACAACTTCTATTTTTTTTGTATAGTTCTTTGTTTGTTACACTTGTTACATGTAAATCTTTAGTATACCTGGATTGTATGTATGTACAGTTCTGTGAAGTAGAGATAAAACATTTTTCCCCCTAATTGTTGAAGCAGGTTGTCCTCAACCCTGGCTAAACATTGGAACCCCTTGGCACTTGGTTAAAAATGGAAAGTGTGAGGCCCAAGCATTTGTTGTTTTTCAAATGCCTGTTCTTCACCTAAGAATAACATAAAAAACTGTTACTAATTTCAGCATTTTTCTCAAGGTCATTCTGAGCCTTTGGTTTTCTGATATGGAACTGTTCTACTGTCTTATCACTTGTCTTTGATTTTAAATCCCTCTTTTCCTCTTTTGAACTTTATTAAGTATTGTTGTCTCCCTGTGCTTAAGTGAGTAAGAAATCAGTAGAGGCTTGTCTGGGAAAAATGTCTACAGTGATAGTTTAGTATTTTTGTAATTAGGTTAAAGACTTATTGAAACTCTTTGCAAAATGCTTGCTGTTTCTCATTTACTTTGCTGCTGGGCCCCTTTGAAGGAGGCAGAGATGAAAACAGACACTCTGCTATCAAGGGACTCAGCCTAATAGAAGAGACAGATGTATGGACAGTTACACTGTAACAATAAATACCATAGATGTTGCAAAAGTCATAAATGTCATGATAGCATATTTTTAAAAATGAATAAGGTAAAACTGGAAATTTAATGAAAACAAGACTAAATTAGATTTACTGGCTTATCTTCACTGGAACAGTTTCTTAATTTATTTTTATTATTTCCACAGGCAGTATAGAGTAAATGTGCCTGCATCGTAGCTCTAAACCATTATGAATGTAATATTCCACTTTTTAGTATATGCAAAAAGTACGTTCATTCCTTCTACATTTATTTGTTAGCATTCCATTACTGTTTCAGACTTTTTTTCCCATAGCTAATACTGGCAACTGACTTCTTTTTCCGGAGCATTTCTTCACAAAGAAATATTTTTTAGTCACTTAAAAGGAGACTTTATATGCAGTGATGACCAGAACCATAAAATTATATTGCCCGAGCGAGCTCCAGGTTTGCTTTCACTTCATCCCCTTGCCCGCTCCTACCTGCCAGGGCCGAACTGGCCCGCCCCCTCAGAACGGCACGGCAGGCCTGGGAGCCCAACCAATTAGCAGTCATCAAGTGAGACCAAAGACACCCCAGACTGTCCCCCACCTTCCGCACGGGGGAGCTCCCTGAGCCTTTCCCCCCTCCCCTCTCCAAGGTTAAAAGCCCGGAGCCGACGCCCCACAGGCCCGGGGTCCGGGCCCAACCTTGGGGCGGGCGGTGTGTGCAGAAAGTTCTAGTCAGGGTTAACTTCTGGCTTCGCGCCCTCCCCCCTACCCCCGCTGTCCTCCTGCAATTCCAGGCCATCCTGCATGACCCCAACTGTTCCACAGTCCTGGGCAGGGCAGGAAGCTGGCATGGCCGCCGGCTGGGCAGGCGCCACTTGGCCGGGCCAGTTGCTCTCTGGAACTCACGCGGCACCTTCGTGCTGAGTCGGGTTCCCGGGTCTCCCGCCCGGTCACCCTAAGTGGCTTTCCCCCACTCTGTCCGTTGTGCTCTCCCCGGGAGTCTCCCTGTCTCCACCTGCCCTGTCAGCTTTTCACCTCCTTGGTAAAAAAAAATATATATATATTATATTGAAGGTGGAATGCTAAACTATCAAAACTAGAGTCAGTCATGTTACTTTTATTTGACTTTTTAGCTGTGGAAGGGAAGTGGTCCCAGTTCATCACCCTTCTCAAGCCCAGCCTCATCCCGATCCCAGACTCCAGAGAGGCCAGCAAAGAAAATAAGGTAATCAGTTATTATTTACTGTGTGGATTAATGAGAGGTCAGGAAAGGAGGGAAATTTACTTGGCTCTTTGCCTTTCTGCAACTCTGATTTGGAGAACCAAAGAAATTTATTTCCAGAAGGATGGTGAAGTAGCAACGTGAGTGGCTCTCATCTCTTCTAGTTCTTATGTACTGGCTGTAGAGGCCTCTGGCTCTTTTCCTCATACTGCAGTGTGAGTGATGGGGGTGTAAGAGTAGAGGCCACACAGAATAGACTGAACAGAGTGAATAATGTCAGCGGGCAGTAGACTTCATGTTTTTGCGTCTAGCCGACCCTTTAGGTACATACAGTCAACTAGAATGCCACTCTAAGGGACCAGATCTGTGACTAGAACTCTCAGGAACTTGGCAGGTTGTAAGTAAGGTTTTGAAGATGATTGTTTTGTGCTTGTTTTACGACAGAGGTTTTACCGTGGCTTCCATGAACTGCCTCCCTTTACTTCTGTAGGTTTTCTTTTGACTTTTAATTTTTTGTCCTGGCATACTGAGATTGTAAATCATGGTTGTACTAGACTTTGGCCAGTTGGTAGTTAGGAAGGCATAAGAAATTATCAAGTACTTTGTGTCAGAAAATCTTTCTAAACTTAATTCTGCCTTTTCCTCCTACAGAGAAGAGGAGCTTTCTCATCATTCTAGTTCTTCAACTCCATTGGTAATAGACAAGGAGTCCCAGGGAGAAAAGGGTGAGTTGATAAATGCACAGGAGTGGCTCGTGGTGGTGGTTGAAGTGTTTATGGAGGATGTATGGACTTCTGCCAGTTTGAAAACACGCATTGAGCATTATTGGTATATGTAAGGTCTGGTAGATAGAGAGATAGAGGTTCCTGTCCTCAGAAGTTTATAGTCCGGCAAGGGAGAAAGGTGGCACAGACGAATACAGTAAAACCCAGGATAACTGAGGGAAGGACAAGCTTAGGTTGGGATATCTGTGAGCAATCCAGGTAATTACTGTCCAGTAAGTTACGTGCATGCATTTGGAGCAATTTTCTCTTTATATTCTCATGACTGTTAGAATAATCTTGCAAACACCATCCAAGAGCCCAAACCATGGAAGACAGAATCTTTCAGAGATACTCAGTGAAAATTCAACTTTAAAAACCAGGTGTATAGACAAACCTATCTATTTCTGGAAGAGAGAAAGAAGAAAACAAGTCTGTATTTTTCTTTAGTTGCAGATGCAACTGCATGGAAGAAACAAAACTCGTGGAATTCCCCATCTACACCTGGCAGCTCTGGGCAACGTAAACGGAAGATTCAGCTGCTGCCCTCCAGGCGAGGGGACCAGCTGACCTTGGTATGGTCTTGTTTATCTACTCTTGCTCAACACAGCTTAGGTTTTAGCTCCCAGCTTAGCTCTCCTAAGTCTTCAGAGGGCTAAATACAGGTTTCTTCTAGTTTCTTCTGATTGACTTGACTTCTTTCTCTCTTTGGTAGCCTCCACCTCCCCAGCTTGGTTATTCAATTACTGCTGAAGACCTAGACTTGGAAAAGAAAGCTTCGTTACAATGGTTTAACAAGGTCTTGGAGGACGAGACTGGTAAGGAATATAGATCCGTTACACACTCGAGAGCGTTTGTTTCCTTTGGTCTTTCTCATCTGAGATATCCATTTGGGTCCTCAGTGGAATCTGAAGAAGAATGACTATTGAGACTGAGGGGAAACCTTTCTAAATGAATTATACTGAGACCTGAGCATCCCCATGCTCTGTGATACGCCACTGGAAAGACTTCCCAAACAGTGGATGATGATTTAATCTTTTCTTTCTTCCTTAGACACTGCCTCAAACTCTGTCACTGAGAACCCACCCACCACTCAGCCTTCTTTTCCTTTTACCCTGCCTGCTGCTGGGACTACTTCCTCCCCAACCTCCCTCCCAGCCCCAAGTGCTAACCCGCTGTTGGAGAGCTTGAAAAAGATGCAGAGTTCCCCGGGCTTACCATCCTTCCCAGGTTAGTGGGAGAGCGTCCTGCGGAGCATATAATGATCTCAGCCTTTGTTTAGGTTGAAGTAAAAGCATCACTGGGAATTGTTGTAAGGGCAGAACCTACCCTGGCTTACCAGACCTGAGCTGGTGCAAGCCTGAGAGCTCAGAATTCTCTGGTCAGGAAACTGTAGGGAAACGGGCTGCGATACTTACAGCTGGGGAGGGCAGCTCAGTTGTGGTAGTCAAATGGCTCTTGATTTGAAACCCAGTTTCTTAGCTGCTCCTGAGTCTTACTCTCATCATCTATAAAATGAGAATAATGCTGACCTCGTGAGGTGTCTCTGAAGTGTAAATGTGATCACATAGTTAAGATGTCTTGTCACGTGCTTATTTGACCACAGGCACAAGATAGTATTAATTACTTTCCCTCTAGGTTGCCAAGGGTCTCTTGCTTATGCCAGCCCCATGCGTATGGCCCTGCATATGTACACACTCCTGTTATTGCACTTTATCATAAAGTAGTACATGTTAGGTATCAGCCTCTCCCAGGGCTCAAGGCAGAGACTGTCTCATTCATGGTTACGTGCTCTGCTTAACACATGGTGGGCAAAGATAGTAAATCTTTGTTAGATGAGTAAGATGTATGTAGGTAATTAACTGGACCTCAGTTCAAGTGATTGGATTTTCCTTGGTTTTCACACATTTAGCCCCCTCAATTAGGGCAAGTTTTATCCCCTTCCATCTTTCTTATGATCTGTGAAGGGTAGAAATAATGAACACTTCCTTGATGTTAAAGAATGAATACATTAAGGGCCTGTGGAATAGATTTAGTTATATTTGTTGATCAAGTCTTGAATCCCTAGCACTGTGCTAGGCACAGGGTGGGATACAAAAGCATCGAATACTGTCACGTTTGAGTTACAGACCTTCCTTGATTTAACGATGGGGTTACATCCTGATAAACCTATCATAAGTTGAAAATATCCCAAGTCAAAAATGCATTTAGGGGCCAGCCTGGTGGCGCAGTGGTTAAGTTTGCATGTTCTGCTTCAGTGGCCCGGGGTTCACCGGTTTGGATCCCAGGTGCGGACATGGCACCGCTTGGCAAGCCATGCTATGGTAGGCATCCCACATATAAAGTAGAGGAAGATGGGCACGAATGTTAGCTCAGGGCCAGTCTTCCTCAGCAAAAAGAGGAGGATTGGCAGCAGATGTTAGCTCAGGGCTAATCTTCCTCAAAAAATAAAAAAAACCTAAAAGTAAAAAATGCATTTAATACACATAACCTACCGAACATGATAGCTTAGCCTAGTATACCTTAAATGTGCTCAAAACACTGACGTTAGTCTCCAGTTGGGCAAAATCATCCAACACAAAGCCTATTTTATAATAAAGTTGAATATTTCATGTAACTTACTCAATACTGTACTGAAAGTGGTTGTATGGGTGCAGGATGCTTGTCAGTGTATCACTTGTTTACCGTCTTGATCACGTGGCTGACTGGAGCTGGGGCTTGCTGCTGCTGCCCAGCATTAGGAGGGAGTATCACACCGCACATCACTAGCCCAGGAGAAGACTCAAATTCAAAATTCAAAGTATGGTTTCTACTGAACGCGTATTGCTTTCGCACCATCATACACCATTGTAAAGTCAAAAAATTGTAAGTCAAACCTTTATGAGTTGGGGACCGTCTGTATTCCGAATTCACTTTCTCTGTTCTTCTTCCCAGAATCTGCTGGAGTGGCAACCACTGTGGCCCATTTGCCTCCGAAGACACCCAGCCTTCTGGCCTCTCTTGGGTCTTCACAGTCAGGGCCCCTTCCAGGCACCTCTTCAGACTCCAAGTCCACGGTCACTTTCTTGGGGCTGACCCCTGCTTCTTCCACGATACCAGTCACTGACACCACCAAGTCACCTCAAGCCCCTCAAGCCGAGACATCTGCCAAATCCCAAGCCCTGTCTGCCCCATCCCCCACCCCCAAGCAAAGTATTCTCTTTGGAATGCTGAGCACCCCCCCTGCTAACCCTTCTGCCTCTGCAGCTCCTGCTGTGTCTTCAGCATCTCCCATGTTCAAGCCCATTTTTGTGGCCCCAGCTATAAGTGAGAATGAGGGCTCCTTGCAGGCTAGCCCTTCCAAGGTTACCACCACCACAACTTCCGCGTCTGCCCTCCCCATGACTACCAGCACCCCTCCCCCGACTTTTAAGCCTATCTTTAGCAGCATGGGTCCACCTACATCTGTGCCCTTATCAACTCCCTTCTCCTTCAATCAGACAACTACTCCAGCCACTACCACGAGCGCCCCTCTATTCATTGGCCAGGCCAGTGCCGCTTCAACAGTGGCTTCTGTGACTACAGCCAGCACATCCGCAGACTCTGCTCCAAAGCCTGCATTTGGCTTTGGTGTGAGCAATGTGACCAGCACCCTGAGTAGCATGACTAGCACCACCACTTCCACTTCACAGTCTTTCCTCTTCGGGACTCCCCCTGCCTCTGGGGCCAGCTTTACCCCAGCCGTGGGCTCCATATTCCAATTTGGCAAGCCTTCTGCCATGCCTACTTCTACGACAGTCACCACCTTTGGCCAGTCCCTACCCAGTGCCGTTCAGACAGCCGCCAGCAGCAGCACTGCCGGCTTTAGTGGTTTTGGTAACACCCTTACCACCTCAGCCCCAGTCACCACCAGCCAGCCGACGCTGACATTCAGTAGCACTACCACCCCAGCATTTAACATTCCCTTTGGCTCAAGCACCAAGCCTCTCCCAGCATATCCAGGAGCCAATGCCCAGCCAGCGTTTGGGGCCACTGATGGGCAGCAGCAGGGGACTACCAAGCCAGCTCTTGCCCCCAGCTTTGGCAGCTCTTTCACTTTTGGAAACTCTGCAGCCGCAGCCCTGACTGCAACTCCAGCACCAGCCCCTGCCCAGCCAGCCTTCGGCAGTGCTGGGCAGTCGGCTTTTGGTGGTTTGAAACCCGCAGCCTCTGCCTTTGGTGCCCCTGCCAACACTCAGCCAGCCTTTGGCAGCACCACGGCTGTTTTCTCCTTTGGTGCAGCCACCACCTCTGGCTTTGGAGCTACAACCCAGACCACCAGCAGCGGGACCAGTAGCTCAATGTTTGGCAGCACAACGTCATCACCCTTCACATTTGGGGGATCAGCAGCCCCAGCTGGCAGTGCGGGCTTTGGGATCAATGTGGCTACCCCAGGCACCAGTTCAACCTCTGGAGCTTTCAGCTTTGGAGGAGGACAGAGCGGGACCACTGGCAGCACAACCCCCTTTGGGGCAGGCTTGAGTCAGACCACGTTGGGCGCACCCGGCCAGAGCACACCCTTTGCCTTCAATGTGGCCAGCACACCTGAGAGCAAACCTGTGTTTGGAGGTAAGACTAGGAATTGGTCTGCTGTGCCAGGCGCTGTGGTAAGTGCTCACATAGCCTCTGCTCTTAGGGAGCTTTATGTGGTGGTGAAGAGACAGATGTTAAATATACAAATAGAATGTCAGGTAGCAATAACTGTCTTGAAAAAATAAAATACACAATTAATGACTGGAGGAGCTATTTAGATAATCAAAGAAGGCCTTTCTTAGGAAATAAGTTTAAGCCAAGACTGTATTTGTGACAGAAAGGGGTTAGTGTAGGTGCGTGTGTGAGAGCGTGCTTTTCAGGCACCAGAGAGAGCCATGCAGAGGCTTGGAGGCTGAAACAAGCCTGGTGTGTTCACAAACAGAAAAGCAGGGGGTGGCGAGAGGGTTCAAAGCGGAGATGGTATAAAATGAGGTTGAGAGGCAGACGGAGTTGCGATCATTCACGGCCAGGGTTCAATGTTTGGATTTGAAGTACTGAGGGAAATCACTAGAATTTCAAGCAGAAGAATGAAGCGATCTTAATTGACATGTGGAAGATGGATTATAAGGAGTTTTGATCCTGATAACTTCTGTCATCTTCATTAAATGTGAGAGAAGATCTTGGGAGTGGATTAGGGTGAAATGTATACAAAGAAGAGCCTCTTGAAATAGTCATTTTGGAGAGTGGAGAAAGTAATGTAATGAGAAACTGCAAGAGAGTTGCCAGGCAGTTTTGAGGGCTGGGAAACTGGTTGTGAATTTAAAGTGAGGCCAGTCAGCACTGTTGTGTGTCTTTCCCAAGCAGCATTCAGCCGTCGACCTCGACGTCAAATGAGTGGACAGCTGGTGAGACCCAGCCTGTTTAAACTGAAGCAGGGGTAGCAGGAGGGACAGTGGAGTGCTGGTGTGCATGAGGTTGAGGGGACAGAGGGGAGGGAGCACTAGAGAGAGCGAGCTGGAAGAAAGTGCAGGACTTTTAAGAGTGGAGATTTGGGAGCTAGACCAGTTCCTGGTGGTGACAAGTGACCATAGGAGTGGATGGCGGAGGCAGCATAGAAAAGATTGAGGTGGCAAGGCCAGGGCCTCAGGGAGCAAGAAAGATACCTGCCCAGCCCAGGCTGAGACAAGTGCACATGAGTACACAGGCTGTCCTGAGAAGGGGCCACAGGGAAAGCAGCGTCAGCACTGAACATCAGGGTTTGGTGAGGGCAAGGGAGGTGGTGGCTGATGACTGAGTTCCAGGGGACCAACAGGGTGGAATGGTGAGGAGTTTGGTGGAAGGCTCAGGTGTCTGGAGGGGAGGGGACCAATAAACAGGGAGGAGAGGCATAAAGCGATTAGTCCCGATGGAAGAAGGGAGGTAACCTGGTCAAGCTAGAAGGTTGGAGTCCACCTGGTGTCCCCCTCTGCTGTGCTTTGGTGGCCAAGGGAACACAGAGGCCTTACTCCTTAGGTGGCCAGAAGGCAACACCAAGAGGCCTTTTTTCTGGTGCAGCACAGTGGTTAGCAGGCTGGGAGATGGGTAGGCTCCCCTGGAGCACCAGGTGTTCAGACTTAATTATCCCACACAGTTCCTTACGGTGGGGCGAACCAGAAGAGTGGTCCAGGGCGAAGGTATCCTCTGGGGAATGGAATGCCCCCAAGGAGAGCAGACCTCCCCGCTAGGTTTATTACCATCTGCTTTGATGCCCTCTGCTCACAGGCCTATTCTCTACAGTTCTCTGTTGCCTCTTCATTCTAGGCACCTCCACACCCACCTTTGGTCAGAACACCCCTGCCCCTGGGGTGGGCACGTCGGGCAGCAGCCTCTCCTTTGGAGCATCCTCAACACCCACCCAGGGCTTTGTTGGAGTCGGACCTTTCGGTAAGCAGCAGGTCTCTCTGTTACCAGCATGACCTGCTTATTCCTCTTGGAAGAGGGAGTGGGTTGGGACAGCAGGTTCCTGGCTCTCCAGGGAAGGTCAGGCTCATAAGCATGAGAAAGATGTGGCTGGGCTGAGCATCCAGCACAACCCAGGTTTGCAGTTGGGCAGCAGGAGTCAGTGAAGAGCCATCTCAGGCACAATTTCCCAACCACTGGAAAGCCAGGTAAAAATGCTTTCCTGGGCCTCACTCCCAGACTACCTGGGACTCTGGGATTTTGCATTTTAAATAGGCCCCTCCCCCAAAGCGATTGCTACAGCTCAGGAAGACCTATTCCAGCACCCAGTGTTCTGCTGGCTAACCTGGGGATTAGGGCACCCAGAGAAGTGTTCTCAGGTGACAGCTGCCCTGATGAGATCTTGTTGAATCTTTCCAGGCTCGGCTGCCCCTTCGTTTTCCATTGGTGCCGGATCCAAGACCCCAGGGGCTCGGCAGCGCCTGCAGGCCCGAAGGCAGCACAACCGCAAGAAGTAGACTTTGTCCCTTGCCCCCACCCCCCAAAACCCCTACCCAAATCTGGACCTCATCACCTGCTAGGAAGAGCCTCTGACCCTTCTAGTTCCATAAAGCAATCCTACCCCAGATTCCTGGCTTCAGCCACCAAGGAGGCAGTGGCAGCCCTGGGGGCTGTTTCCCTCTCCTCGAGGAAGCAGAAGCCTCAGGCCTCTTGAGGGAAGGGAAGGCAGGATGTGGCAGGGCAGACGCCTGATGCCTGTACTTGAACAGTTCCACCGGTGAGGCTGGAGAGAACTAAGGAAACATCTGTACATAGTGTCCCTCACTTGTTTAGTGTGTAAGCTTAGTCAGGCAGCCTCCCTTCCCTCCCTCCCTCTCCCGCCCCCCCCCCCCCCCGCAAGAGCCCATCATTGCTGGAGGGTAGCAGGTACCGCCCTCACCCACTTGATCTCTGATATGCATTTGATGAGATTCAGGGAAATGGGTTATCCCTAAAGCTTTACCTTGCTTGGCTTGGCTATAAAAAGTGGTTCTTCTCTAGTCCCTTTAGGGGACTCTGTTTCCCCATTTCTTGCTGCTTTGTCCCTCACTGGTTCCTTGCAGGATCGATTCCTTTTGAAATGACCTTGAATCTGCTTTGCCTTGGAAACCCCAGTGGGTGCTGCTCCTGCTGTTCCACTTCCTGCTCAAGTCTGAGTCAATGTTTTCTCCCCAACCCTCTGCCAGTTTGGCCCCTAAAAGCTTGGTGGCCCAGACTGTTAGCCTGGCAGATTCAGGGTGATACCTCGCTCCAGGGAGGGAAGCTCTTGGAGCAGGCAGGATGCCCACCGCTTCCAGCTGCCTCCTCACCCACCTGCCCCACTGGCCTCATTGGGCTCCTCTCTCTCTCCGGGATTGTATGTTAAAGCCTTGTCCTGTGTTACTTTGTCTGATGCTCATGTCTATTGCTCTTTGAATCGAGTTTGGAGGAAGAATTGAATTGTATGAGTGGCGGCATGTTGGTAGTGCCGGACTTACTGTTCCAAGTTCTGGGGCCTAGCTAATTGAATGTGGAAAGGAGCACCACTTTATGGCTGCAGGTGCTGGCTCCTGGATTTCAAATGGTGTTTTGACTTTAAGGGCTGGCAGCCCAGGAGGATGGGGCCGAGGGGAAGCAAAGACCTCTTCCCTGTCTCTCTCCCACCTACCTGACCTCCATGGAGGCTAGATCACCCCTCGTATGCTAGGAAACCTAAACTAACGAACCACACTTTAAAATTCTTAGTTTTTTCCCCCCAACAAAGCCTCCAACCCTTCCCCTTTTCTTCCTTTGTTCCCAAACCATGTACCCCAGGCCCAAGAGCCTTGCTGCCATGTCCATCCTCTTTGGGAGAAGTATGAATGCGTGTGTCTAAATTAAAAGAAAAAAATATTTAAACATTTTTTAACAAAATAAAAATTTATTTTTGTATTTAAGCTAAATTGCCTTTAAATTCCTTCAAGCTTGGTTCATTGAGGTGGTTAAGTGTAAATGCTATTGACTAGGAATTAGCTGTACAGTTAAGTTATGCCTGTGTGAAGAAGCAGCTCAAATGCTGTCCCAGGCAGCTTTCCTGAGGGACGAGAGCTCCTTCTGAACACATTATATGAAATGTACTTCTTATTTTATGAATAATGTGACGTAGGTGTAAGTAGTCCCCCCTCCCTTTGTGACTGAGGTTGAACATTCTGTCACAGGGCTGCACCTCCCCACCCCCAGGAAGAGCTCTGTTAAGACTTCACTGTGCGTGATGCTGAGGAGGGGCCTGACCTCAAGTCCCAAATACCTGTTAGGATTGGAGGGGTGGGGGTGGGGCACGGGTCTAGAAATCAAGCTTCTACCTATACCTTACGTAAGGTAGATCCTCTTAGTTTTAGTACTCTGAGCTAGTTTACCTCAGTTCCACAGGCAGGACAGCTGGTCCAGGAAAGCCCCGAAGAGGGTGTCCTGGCACAGCCTGAGTGTGAGTGTGTGGAGTGTATGTGTACATGTACGAGCACTGGACAGGAACGGGAGGCTGGGACTTTCCATTACAAATAGACTTAATTCCTGTTGAGTCTAGTTGGAATTTTTAGTATGAATGTGAGATTTTTCTCCTTGCTTATGTCATTAAGAATAAAAAAAACTGTGATCTATCATAGACCATGTCCTGCTTTTTATTTTGTGGGCAGCACTTCTCTCGCCAGCAAGAACACAGCCCAGGGAGGGGACCCAAAGGACGAGGAAATCCACTCTGTCTTTCCAGCTGGAGAAACAGGGTTACCAGTTTCCTTCCTAAAGCAATAAAAAGAATAGAACCTTTCAAAAACAAAAGTGCTGCCTGGGGCTGAGGACCCCAGGCTGAGTTGAGGGGAGAACTAGTATCTTCCTTTCCTCCCTCGCACCCAGCTTGAGCACCTGCTATGTGCAAGGCAACGTGCTAGGAGCCGCCGCTGCTTTTCGCCGCCTCTTCTTTCTCTTTGGGGCGGAGCTGGGTACAAGTTCCGGTGCTGATGCTTCGGCCTGTGAGACAGAGCTACAAGAAAAGTACATCAGTTAGATGTGTCCCCATCTGCCAGCATCTTCCAAGCAGGCCCCCTACTCACTCACCCTGGCACCTCTACCCGTTCAAGCACAGCAATGAAGAAGCCACCAGTGAGCGTGGTCTCGGGGGAGGCCCGGAGGCAGTGCTCGGCACCCGGAAAAGTGCAGAGACCTCGGTGGGGCCAGGAGGGCAGCACAGGAGCCAGCCTGTGGAGAAGAAATAGCACAGGCTCGTAGGCAAAAGAGAGCAGCCTCCCGCCCCGAGACCCTGGGAGAGAGCCACCACCTGAAGGCTCCTGGGCTCTGCTGCAGGGCATCGCGTACCACATCTTCATTCTCCTCTTGGCAGAGGGAACATGTGGAGTAGACGAGGCGCTGCAGGGAGGGGAAGGTGAGTGCGTGGCAGAGAGCACGCTGCTGGAACCCCGCCAGGGCATGCAAGCGCTCCTTGCTAGGTGCGCCTGCCCCGGGCTCCTCCAGCTGTCTGGTCAACATACCTAAGGAAAACGGTGTTTTCATCACAGACTGCCTTATTTTGAAATCCCCACTTTTGACACGATAACATTTGCCCGGGGTCACAAGATGATTACAGTCAGAACTTAAACCCAAGGCCAAAATGAACGACTACCCCTTCCCCTCTAAGGTTGCTCGGGTTCTGTGGGGCCATCGGCCATGCTTTCTCCCCATCTCACCAGAGCCACTACAAGAAGGATCCAGCAAGATGTACTGGACCTGACGATAACGCTGGTCTGAGGGCGAGACTGCCAGGAAGTCCTCCTTGGCCAGCTCACAGCAAGAGACTCCAGCCCGGGCCAGCAGAGTAGCCATGGATGCTAGGCGTTTGGCATCCAGGTCAAAGGCAAAGATTTTTCTAGGGAAGAGGGCAGAGTAGAGGTTACCTGAGAATTTATGGAGCAGCTAAGGGCCCACAGCTCCAACATATAATAACATGTACATTAAGTCAGGATGCACAGAAAATATTTAAATGGCCTACAAAGATAAGCAGTCAGAGGTAACTGGCCTGGGGACTCGGCCCGAAGGGCTAAAGGATTCACATCTCACACCTGCAACCCCCTGGGAAGCTCAGCTTGGGGCTATACCATGAACTGGCCTAGGTCCAGAAGGAAGTATTTAAAGGAAAAATCCTCCTTTCAGCCTTCATGACCTATCAGAAATAAAGAGTTCCTGATATCTTCATACAAAGTACAGGAGATCAGGCCCCATCCCCTTCCTCTGTCTGACCACAGCACTCACCCTTGGTTCTTCAAAAGAGCAGCCAAATGACTGGTCTTATTGCCTGGAGCAGCACATGCATCGATGACATGCGAACCCGGTGGTGGAGCCAGCAGCATAGCTGGGAGACAGCTGGCCTGGCAGGCAGAGCACAGCAGCGAGGTGAAAAGAAACCCCAGGCTCGTCACTCCCATATGCTCTTCCCTTTTCCACCCATCTTCCCTACCTTGTCTTGTAGGATGAGGTGACCAGCTTGGTATAATGGATGTTCATGCAGATCTGTTTGGGCAGGAAACACAAGCAGCTCTGGCAACAAGAGATCCAGAAGAAAACACTTCCCTTTGAGGGCCCTTAGGTCCTCGAGGCTGCCAGGAAATAAGAACCATTCATTCAACATTTTCAAATTCCTCCATGCCAGGCACCAGGCTAGACATTCTACACTTTACCTCTCTTTAACTGTTCTCTCATGCAACAAATGTTTAAAACTGCTATGAAGAAATAAACAGGGTGATAAGATAGAGGCAGGAGTTAAGAGAATGGGCTCTCAGGCCAGACTCCAGGTTCAGGATCCCACCTCTACCATTTACCAGTGGCAGGAACGTGGGCAAGTGCCTTCATCTCAGCTTCTGTTTGCACTTCTGGAAAATGGTCATTGTGAGGATTAAATGAGTTAATACATGCAGAACACTTGGGAAAACACTTGGTATAAATTACGCACTCAATATTAGCCAGTACCATTAAAACATAACCTCGGGGAGAGGTTACATTATGCAAGGGGAGCGCTGAGCTAATTTCTGATGAGAAATTAGTAATGTGAGGAGCTGAGGTGAAAGCTACATTCACTAAACTCTGCAGAAGAACACTGTCTACTCCAGCGGACCAACGTAGACACAAGCCTAGAGAATAACATCTCAGTTCAAAAAGCTATCAAGTGGCAGAGCTGGAATTCAAATCTAAACAGACATTCTCTACTCTACCACCTGGTCTGCAAGCAACATGTTAGAAGCAGGAGGAACATCTAGAACAGATGGAAGGAAAGGGAGGGAGCAGAGGCAGCTTCCCAGAGCTGTCAGGGTACAGACCAGGAGGCAGCTGAGTCCATGGGAGAGTGTGGGAAGAATGGGGCGGAGAGCGGCAACCACTGTGGGAACACGAGGGGCATGGAGCACAATGGCAAATGGGCCTGGAAGGGAAGAGGCAGCAGCACAACAGAGAGCCAAGAAAGGGTTTTCAGCAGGTAAGTGACACATCAGATCTGGCTTCAGATCTGTCTGCAGCCAACCACAAGGACAAACAGCAAGAAAGTCTGGAAGTGAGGAGACCAGTTTAGGTTTTTCTGCCAATCATGAAGAGTGTGTAAACCTAGGCACTGTCCAGGAGGACGAAAAGAAAGGAGTGGATCTGAAAAAGATGCAGAAGGCGGAGTAGTAAATGACTGTAAGGAGAGGAGGGAAGCATCTAGGATGACTCAGTTTCTGGCTTGAACAAATGGCCACATAATGGTGATATCTGTTAGGTTAAAATAAGGAATGCAGAAGGTGCAGAGTTCAGGGATGCAAGGATGGTTCAGAATCCACAAATCAATCAGTGTGATACAGCACATTAAGAAAATGAAGGATACAAATCATATGATCATCTCAATAGATGCAGAAAAAGCATGTGACAAAATTCAACATCCATTTATGATAAAAATTCTCAACAAAGTGCATACAGAGGGAATGGACCTCAACATAATAAAGGCCATATATGACAAGCCCACAGCTAACATCATACTCAACGGTGAAAAGTGGAAAGCTGTTCCTCTAAGATCAGGAACAAGACAAGGATGCCCACTCTTGCCAGTTTAATTCAACATCGCATTGGAAGTCCTAGCTAGAGAAATTAAGCATGAAAAAGAAATAGCCATCCAAATCAGAAAGGAAGAAGTAAACCCGTCACTATTTGCAGATGACATAGTATATATAGAAAACCCTAAAAACTCCACAAAAAACTTAAAACTAATAAACTAATTCAGTAAGGTTGCAGGATACAAAGTCAAGATTCAAAAATCTGCGTTTCTATATACTAACAACGAAGTAGCAGAAAGAGAAATTAGGAAAAGCATCCCATTTACAACTACATCAAAAAGAATAAAATACCTAGGAATGAATTTAACCAAGGAGGTGAAAGACCTGTACACTGAAAACTACAAAACAGTGATTAACTGAAGAAGACAACAGATAAATGGACAGATAGTCCATGTTCATGGATTGGAAGAATTAATATTGTTAAAATGTTCAAATTACCCAAAGCAATCTACAGATTCAAGGCAATCCCTATCAAAATTCCAATGGTATTTTTCATAGAAATAGAATAAACAATCCCAAAAGTTGTATGGAATCAAAAAAGATGCAAATAGCCAAAGCAATCTTGAGAAAAAAGAAGAAAGCTGGAGGCATCATGCTCCCTGATTTCAAACTATATTACAAAGCTACTGACACACAGGTCAATGGGTCAGAATAGAGAGCCCAGAAATAATCTGATGCATATATGGTCAGTTTACAACAAAGGGGCCAAGAATATACAATGAAGAAAGGACAGTCCCCTCAATAAACAGTGTTGGGAAAACTGGACAGCCACATGCAAAAGAACAAAACTGGACCATTATCCTACACCAAAGACAAAAATTAACTCAAAATAGATGAAAGACTTGAAATGTAAGACCCGAAACCACAAAACTCCTGGAAGAAAACATAGGCAGTAAGTTCCTATACATCAGTCTTTGCAATGATTTTTTGGATTTGGCAACAAAGAGCAAAAATAAACAAGTGGGACTACATCAAACTAGAAAGCTTCCACACAGCAAAGGAAACCACTGACAAAATGAAAAGGCAACCTACAGAATGGAGGAAAATATTTGCAAATCATTTATCTGATAAGCAGTTAATATCCAAAATATATAAAGAATTCATACAATTCAGCAAAAAAAAATCCCATTAAAAAATGAGAAGATCAAATAGACATTTTTCCAAAGAAGACATACAGGTGGCCAACAGGTACAGGAAAAGATGCTCAACATCACTAATCATCACGGAAATGCAAATCAAAGCCACAATGAGATACCACCTCACACCTGTCAGAATGGCTATTTATCAAAAAGACAAGAAATAACAAGCGATGGTGAGGATGTGAAGAGGGAACCCTTGTGCACCACTGGTGGAAATGTAAACTGCTGCAGCCACTATAGAAAATAGTATGGAGGTTCCTCAAAAAATTAAAAATAGAATACTACATGATCCAGCAATTCCTAATCCAAAGAAAACAAAGACACTAACTTGAAAAGATATATGCACCCCCACGTTCACTGCAGCATTATTTACAACAGCCAAGACATGGAAACAACCCAAGTGTTGATAAACAGATGAATGAATAAAGAAAATGTGGTACATATACAATGCAATATTCCTCAGCCATAAAAAAAAAAACAATGAAATTTTGCCATTTGCAACAACATGGATGGACCTTGAGGGCGTTATGCTAAGTGAAATAAGTCAGACAAAGAGAAATACCACATGATCTCACTTATATTTGGAACCCAAAAAAACCCCTGAGCTCATAGATACAGAAAACAGATTGGTAGGTGCAGGGAGCAAAATGGGTGAAGGTGGTGAAAAGGTACAAATTTCCAGTTATAAAGTAAATCAGTCATGGGGATGTCATGTACAACACGGCAACTATAGTTAACACTACTGGACTGTATGTTTGAAAGCTGCTAAGAGTAAATCATAAGAGTCATCACAAAAAAAAATTTTGAAACTATTATGTGGTGATATGTTAACTACACTTAATGTAGTGATCATTTTGCACTATACAGAAATAAAGGGGGGGTGATGTCAGCACCATGGCAGAGTAAGTTGTTCCCTTTGTCTCACCCCTCTAAGTTACAACTAAACAGACATCCATTAACCAGCAGAGGATTCCCTACACAACACCACAGGATGCCTGAGAGATCCATGCAGCCATACATCTGAAGGTGAGTGGACTGGATCCCCAGGAAGCAGTGGACCTAGGTGAGCTGACCCCTCCTCCTCTCCAGCGCCAGCCATTCAGGCTCTGGATCCTCACACAGCAGCCAGCACAACTGTGAGTGGAGGCAGGAGCAGCCCCACCTGCAGGAGCACCCACCTACCGAGGCAGCCCCACGCACACGAATGGCAGCGGCCAGCCTGCAGGAATGCAGAGCGGCGAGATGGGCCCCTGCCCCCACCCCCAGCAGTGGCAGGTGGAATCTGCAACCTGATACTACCACAAATGCGCTGGCAGAGAAGCAATTCATCAAACACCATGAAGAACTACAGTAACACTGCAGAACAGAAAGAAAATGACAACTCTCCAGAAACCAAACCTGAAGTCACAGAAGATTAGAATCTAAATGCCAGAGAATTCAAAATAGTTGTCATAAAGAAACTCAACAAGTTACAAGAAAACACAGAAAGACAGTTCAATGAGCTCAGAAATAAAATCAATGAGCAGAAGGAATACTTCACCAAAGAGATTGAAGCCCTTAAAAAAACCTATATAGAAACTGTGAATATGAAGAACACAATCAATGAGATAAAAAATAATGCAGAAACCATAAAAAATAGAGCAGACCTTACAGAGGACAGAATTAGTGAATGAGAAGATAGAAATATAGAAATGCTTCAGGTGGAGGAGGAGAGAGAACTAAGATTTTTGAAAAATTCTTTGAGAAATATCCAACTCAATTAGGAGAAGTAACATAAAGATTACAGGTATCCCAGAGGGAGAAAGGAGCAGAGAGCTTGTTCAAAGAAATAATAGCTGAGAACTTCCCAAACCTGGGGAAAGAACTGGACTTCCAAGGACATGAAGACAATAGAACTCCTAATTACATTAGTGCAAAAAGACCTCCTCCAAGGCATATAATATTAAAAGTGGTAAAAGTCAATGACAAAAACTATTAAGGTTAGCAAAGCAGAAGAAAATAACCTAAAAAGGAGCCTCTATCAGCCTTTCAGCAGATTTCTCAGCAGAAACCTTACAGGCTAGGAGAGAGTGCAATGATATATTCAAAATATTGAAAGACAAAAACTTTCAGCCAAGAATACTCTATCCAGTGAAATTATCCTTGAGATATGATGGAGAAATAAAAGCTTTCCCAGATAAACAAAAGCTGAGGAGGTTCTTCACCACTAGACCCGCCTTATAAGAAACAACAGAGGAAGCCCTCTACCTGAAACAAAAAAGCAAAGGTTTACAAAGCTTTGAGCAAGGAGAGAAACAGACAAAATCAGAAAATTACAGCTCTGTATCAGAACAGGTTAGCAAACTATTATAACATAAAAGATAAAGAGAAGGAAACCATCAAAAATAACTAGAGGGGCCGGCCCCATGGCGGAGGGGTTAAGTTTGTGCATTCTGCTTTGGCGGCCCAGGGTTTCACCGGTTTGGATCCTGGGCGTGGACATGGCACCGCTCGTCAAGCCATGCTGAGGCAGTGTCCCACATGGCACAGCCAGAAGGACCTACAACTACAATATATGCAACTACGTGCTGGGGGGCTTTGGGGAGAAGAAGAAAAATAAGATTGGCAACAGATGTTAGCTCAGGTGCCAATCTTAAAAAAAAAAAAACTATAAATACTTCAATTTAGTCACAAAGTCACAAGATGAAAAAGAATAATTTGTGACAACAATAACACAAAAGGGGAAGAGAAATGGGATGGGTCATGCTTAGGCTAATGGAAATAAGAGGCTACCAGAAAACAGACTATTTCACCTATGAGATCTTTTATACAAACCTCATGGCAACTACTAAACAAAAAATCAGAGCAGAGCCAAAAATCATAAATAAAGAGAAAACTGAGAAAACCATCACAGAAAATCACCAAACTGAGGCGCTGGCCCCATGGCGAAGTGGTTAAGTTTGCATGCTCCACTTCAGAGGCCCAGGGTTTCACCGGTTCACATCCTGGCACCACTCATCAGGCCATGCTGAGGCAGCATCCTACATAGCAGAACCAGAAGGACCTACACCTAGAATATACACTACGTACTGGGGGGCTTCAGGGAGAAGAAGAAAAAAAAGAAGAAGATTGGCAACAGATGTTAGCTCAGGTGCCAATCTTTAAAAAAAAAAAATCACCAAACTGAAATGTAGTCAGAAATACAAGGGAAAAGATACAATGGAAATATAAAACAACCAGAAAATAAGAGATAAAATGGCAGTATTAAGCCCTTAGTGATTATATAAGTGATTATATCAATAATCACTCTAAACGTAAATGGGTTGAATTCACCAATCAAAAGACAGAGTGGCTGGATGGATTAAAAAACAAGACCCAGGGCTGGGCCAGTGGTGAGTGGTTAAGTTCACGTGCTCCACTTTGGCAGCCTGGGGTTCACAGGTTTGGATCCTGGGTGCAGACCTGGACATCGCTCATCAAGCCATGCTGTGGCAACATCCCACGTAAAATAGAGGAAGATTGGCTCAGGGACAATCCTCCTCACCAAAATTTAAAAAAAAAAAAAAAAAACAGAAAGAAAGAAAAAAGAAAACAAGAGCCAACAACATGCTGCCTCCAGGAAACACATCTCAGCCCTAAAGACAAATATCAAATCATTATGTTGTATACCTGAAACTGATATGTTATATGTCAGTTATGCCTCAAAAAAAAAGAGAGAGTGCTGCAAAATAACCCAATAACACGTTCATGAATATTGTTTGGGATTTCTCTTAAATCTTGAATAAACATGATGTAACAATTAAAAAAAAGAAGAAAGTGCAAAGTTCAGAGGGAAGACGAATTCAGTTTGACCCCTGCTGCGATTGTGGTGTCTGTGAAGCACTGATATGAATCTGAGGGTAGGAAGAGAAGTCTAAACTGGGACACAGGAATCATCAGGTGAGAAGGAGGAGTTAGAGCTAGAGAAGAAATTGAGGGATACATGAGAAGAATGTAGGATGGGACTCTAGGAGAATCAGCGCTTAAGGGATGGAGGAAGAATAGTCCTTGGAAGGAGATGGAGAAACTGCTGGAAAAGTAGGTAGAAAACCCACATGCAATCACAACCACCCTGCCTCTCTTCCTGTGGATTGCTGTTTCCCCAATGCCCCAAGGCACCTTCGTGGAGGAGGGCGGCCAGGCAGGGTTCTAGGCTCACCTGGAAGCCTGGCCCTGGTAGGAGAAGCCTTGTCTCTTGAAATAATCAATTGCATCATCCGAGCAGGTCTTGAGAGTGTTCACCCGCACAAATCGAGGCACCTGCACGGCTAGAGGGCAAGCAGCAGTGAGTGGGCAAGGACACGGCCCTCTCCTCTAAGGGCCCGATGGCTATCCCGCACCCCCACAACTCCTTCCAGCTCACCTGGGCCAGGCCTGCATCCCACTTCCAACAGGTCCTCATTCCGGCTCACACCTCGATGAACCTTGAGCCGAGCCAACTCGGCCTTCAGCCTTGCCTCGTGCCGGTGCAGCAGACGCTTCCATCGGCCCCTGCCCCCTCTGAAGCCTCCTCCCAACAGTAGGTCATACACTAACACCTGGGGATGCAGAAACAGAGAAAAAACCCTAAGCACTAATGCCTTGAAACTCGAGTGTCGGAACTGGAAAGGCTAGCGGACCACCGGTGCAGACAGTAAAAGTGAGGGACCATGTCCAAGATCACAGCAGAAATTAAGAGCAGAATCAGGATTTGAACCTGGTGTCCTGCTTCCCAGTCCTGAACCCTTTCCCCATGGCTGCTCACCTGCAGAGCTCTGGATCCCAACCCACCTCTTGGTCAACATCGCCCTTTTGTTTTACCTGAAGAGTCCCTGCCATTGCTACTTTGCATTTCTGTTCTTATTTAATCTCTCACACGAGGCTGGAAGTTAAGGCATTTCCCTCCCATCTCAATTCATAACCCAGCGAGGGGCTGCTCTGATTCATTTCAGGGGCGCGACTTGCTAAAGTCACACTGAGAACGGTGCGCAGCTGGGACCGGGTCAGGAGAGGCTCATGGCCCGCCCCAGCCCGCGCGTCACCTTGGCCAGGTGCGGCCGCAGCTTCTTCTCGGCTTGGAGGAGGCCGGCGTTGGCGATCACGGCGTCCAGCACGGCGGAGTAGCGCCGCGTCTCGCACACCAGGGCGTACAGCTGCTTCACGTTCTGGCGCGGCCGAGAGGACACAGGCTGAGGCGGGGGCCGGCCCCGGCCAGCCCCCCGCCCAGGCCCGCACCCGCCACCCCGCTACCTGGAAGCCGCTGGCGTACACCAGCCCTCTGATGGAGCCCTGGCGGCTCTCCACGCTGGCCAGCACGGCCGCCGCCACCCCGTACACAGCCATGCTCCGCTCCCGCGCGCCTTTACGGCTCTGCCGCGAAGCGCGCCCAGACTTCCGGCGTCAAAGGGCACGGAGGCTCCAGACCCGGAAGCTCCAGTGCTCAACCAAGTGCCCCCAGGGCGTGTGTGTGTTCACGCTCCTCCTAGGGCGAGGAGGGCGACGCTGGCAGCGCAGTTCTCCACTTCTTCGCCTGCTCCTCGCTTTTTTTTTTAATGATTTATTATTCGTCTCTCCAGCTAGCTCCATGAGGGGAAATCCTTGTCTATCTGGTCGGTCATGTGTTCCTACCTCCTACACCACTGTCTTTCTCGCGATAAGGACCTAATAAATACCTGGTGAAGGAGCGAATGAATGAATGGACCGCAAAATGATGTGGCGCTGGACAGCCAGCTGTGGCAGAGTTGACCCATCCTAAGACAATCCCCCTCCTTCAGGGGAGTAACAGGTGCACCGATGTTGACACAAGGCCACCGTTTATTCAGATTTCCTTTGTACCTAGTGTCCTTGACTCTCATCTGGGATACCACGTTATATTCAGTCGTCATGTCTCCTTAGGCTCCTCTTGGCTGTGACAGTTCCTCAGACTTTCCTTGTTTTCGATGACCTTGATGGTTTTGAGGGGCCTGGTCAGTATTTTGTAGCGTGTCCCTCAGTTGGGATTTGTCTGATGTTTTTCTCATGGTTATGATGTGGATTAAGGCTGCCCCAGCTAGAGAAGCCCAAGGTGACCTGACCTACATGCCAAACTATATGACCCGGTGGATTTTTTTATGGTATGAATTAGGATTGCCCCGGGGAGAGAAGCCCAGGGCATCCTCACCTACATGCTGATCTATATGGCCAGATTCGTATCTAAAAGTTATATGACCGCACAATAACCAGACCCCGTCTGCACTGAAATCATTTAATGACTTTTTACATCATCTTTTCTTTTTCCAGTAAAAATAAGTCATGTACCCATGCCTTATAAAATTAGCCCTAACCCTCAACTCAGGGCAGCAGCAGGAGCTCTGACTGCCCATGGGTCCTGTCCCCATGCAGCAGCAGCAGGAGCTCTGACTGCCCATGGGCCCTGTCCCCATGCTATTCCACACTATTCTCTAAATAAAAAGAGCACTACTGCCAGATCTTGAGAGTCCAAGAAATCTTTCTTTCGACTCCTCAGCTCACCGACCCCGCATCATTTCAACTGGGGTTATGGGTTTGGGGAGGAAGACCACAGATAAAGTACCATTTTCATCTCATCATATCCAGGGCACATAGTATCAACATGACGTCCCTGTCAACGTTGACCTTGATCACCCTGCTGAGGTGGTGTTTGTCAGGTGTCTCCACTGTAAAGCTACCCTTTATCCCTTTGTCCTCTCTGGGAAGAAGTCACTCTGGGCAGCCCACACATAAGGAGTCGGGGTTGTGCTCCCCCTCCCTGAGGGTGGAGTAGCTACATAAACTATTCGGAATTCTTCCGCACAGACTGGTCTCTTCTCCCTGTTTACTTAATTGGTCGATCATTTATTTATATCAGTATGGACTCATGGATATTTATTTTATACTTTGGGTTACAAACCAGTACTACTTGATTTTGTTGCTCAAATTGTTCCTGGGAGTGCTTTCAGTTGGCTCCTAAGTCCTTTTGAGAGCCCCCATCATTGTTTGTTTTTGAGCACTTCCTTGCCTCTGGCACAAGAAGATACTCAAGGCTCATCTTGTGTATGTCCTCTCTAGTGCTAAAATCAGCCATTTCCCCAAGGAGCTGTGGCTCCTTTTATTGGAGAGTGATATTAGAAACCAAGATCTGGGTACTAGGTGACCTGTTTCTTTTAATTTTTTAAATGTGACCATTAGAAAACTTAAACATACATATATTTATATGTATGGCTCATATATTTCTATTCTGTTTGAGAGTCTCCTCTATCCTAAAAATGCCTTCTCTTAATCCCACCTTCTCTCAGACTCATGACCCAGTTCTCTTCTTCCCTCCACCATCAAACTTTCTAAAAAGGGAATCAGCAGTCATTGTCTTTACTTCTTTATCACTTGCTATTTAACTCCCTGCAGTCTGTCTCCCAACCCACCGCACTGAAATGCCTCCCTCCAAGGCCACCAAGAGACTCCTAATACTCCTCAGGCCTTTCGTGCTGAATCTGGGATTTCATGGCACTTTTGAGCACACGTTCTTTGTTGAAAAGCTTTGGCTTCCATGACCTCTCCTGCTGGCATACTCTCCCATTTCTAAGTTTCCTTGGCAGCCTTGTGTAAGCTGCTCCTTAGCTTCTGGTGTCCCATCTCCTGACCACCTTTTCTGTCAGTCTGATATTTTCTCCCTGGGCAGACTCACCCACTCCCACACTATCATGACCACACAATAAAGTCCATATACACTGAAGTAGCATCAATGGTTCTCCGTGGTCCAGCCCCAGCTGCAGCATCCCTCTGCAAACCTAGACTCCCAAAGGCTCTTCTCCTCTGCCTGTATTCCACTTCTTTCAGCCCAAATGCCAACTCCACATGAAGAATTTCCTTTGCCTTCTCCATATGGATGTGGATCAGTTAAGATCTTTTGGTTGCAAGCACAAACACTAAGTGGCTAGCCAAAAAAAAAGGGGGGATTTATTAAATAGGTGCAGAGGGATGTCATTGTGTCTGTTAGGGTCTGGCTGGAGACAGAAAGGTGCACACAAAAGATAGCTGAATAGAGTTTAAAGAGGGGCCTGTTTAAAAATGGTCAGAGTTAAGGGAACCTACAGGAGACAGTGCAGCACTCTGGGCTAGCGACAGCATTGTTCACCACCGGGCCTGAAAGAGCAGGAAGGAGTAACAGGAGAGGGCTGCCTGCCAGGAGTCTTTGGCTGGCAAGCCGTAGACCAGCAGGCAAGAAACCAGGAAAAGAAGCACCTCGAACTCCCTCCTCCTGCCCTCAGATCTCCTGCCAGTCCCTCACATCAGTGGAATCCAACAGGGAGCCAGAAGTTTTGCATTCCATTGGGGCCCGCCTCCCAGGACACAGAGCAGGGTGGAGAAGCGTGCGTCTAGAGGCGCGACACTCTTTAGCCCAATCATGGAACTGAAGGAAGAGATGCATCCAAAATCCAGGTCTGGAAGGTATCAAGCACACAGCTTGTGTGAATGTCCCATGGGGATAAGGAGGTCAGTGGAGATGGCCCTGAGGTAGTGCGTCACAAGCCTCCCATCCTCTCCCGTTCCTGGAGGGTCACTCAGATAGGCTGTGGGTCAAGCTTTTGCCCATGTGGCCCATGTGGATACATGCCAGCACACCAGGGCAGAGCCATCCTCCGTGGAAGGCCCTCAAGCAGCTCCACAGACCTTAGGAGCACAGGACTGAGGAGCTTCTCTCTAAAGCACCAGGCTGCAGATGACTCAGCCCCAACCATGCTCTCTCTTCCAATTTTCAGATTCTTGGGAGAGAATTCAGCTGTCCCAGCCTTGGCCTGGGTTGACACCATCAACTGTGGCCAGGGGCAGGCTCCCCATGGATGGCAGGGGCTCTGGGCCCACTCCCATGGGCCCAGCAGCTTTCAGGGATAGGCCGCAGCCCCGTCTGGCCTCTACTCACTTCTGCTTTGAAGTAGCGTCATTTCCAACCCATCCAATGGAGAAGGAAGTCAAGAGAGGTCTTCGAGGACAGAGCAATGATGGAGCAGTTGATGTGACTCTAACCGTAGACCAATGAACAGGGGTGGAAGCAAGATCTGGCTCCACGAGAGACTGGAGCTGCTTTTAAAGCCCTGAGCATAAAGCAGTATGTAGGGACAGAAAGTGGCAAATCATTTAAAGAGAACGAAAGAATGTCAAATTTATTAAAGTTATTTTAAGTTCACAATGATAAGGAAAAAGTACGTGTGGGAATGTTTCCATCCTCACCCGGAAAAGTAAGCAGAGAGGTTACTCTTTGGTTAGGAGGGACCCAGGGAAGCCCAGCTTGACCCGTGGACACCAAGGCCTAACTTTGCTGGTTAACAAGCAGGTTAGTAACCTGGCAAATGGTTAATAACCACGCCCCTGGCTGATGGGGAAGGGGTTATGGTCCTTTTCTCCTTATCATTAAATGTTTTTAGGGACACACAGGCATGAAGACTTTCCTAAACAGTAAAGACGTCACCTCTGCTGGCTGGACCCAGCGCAGCCTCTGAGTCGCCCTGCCCAGCTGGGAAAGCCTGTGGTCAGGCAGCGCCGCGAGCAGCCCTACAGCTTGGTGGGCTGTGGGAGGGTGAGGTGGCCAGGCCCACTGGGCGGGGGCAACACCATGGGCAGTGAGTTGCTGCCCCTTTCGTGCCAGCATGTGTCCAGGATGGGGTAGAGCTTGCCCTGGAAGTCAGCCTGGAATGTGTAGAGTGGCCGCAGGTCATCAGGGCGGTCAGCATCGAAGAAGGTGAGCTCTCCTTGCTCATAGTGCAAGTAGATGCCAATGCGGTGGGGGTGGCCAGCCACAGGCAGGGGCACCCGTGGGCAGCCGAAGGCCTCGTACACCCGGCCCTCCTTCAGGCCGATGAGCCACATGCCATGCTCTGGGGACTTGCTCAGCTTGCCCTTGCGGCTGGCTGTGCCCTTGATGACCCCCAGGCGCCAATCACTCTTACTGCCCACCACCACCTCCCAGTAGTGGCGGCCGCAGGAGAAGCCCCGGCTGGCCAGGACACAGGTACTGTAGTCGAAGCGCTCAGGCTGGCTGGCACGCCGCTGGGCCAGGAGGCCACACTGCACCACCGTGTTGCCCTTGGAGAGCTCCAGGAGAGGGTGGGCAGTGGCAGGGTCCAGCTTGAGGGACTCCGGGGCTAGGAAAGATCAGAGAAGGCATGTTTTCAAGCCACCCAGAAGGCAGCAGACCCTGCCCCGAGGGAGGCTGACTGGAAGCCTTGAGCTCCTCAGGAGTAGAAGTGCGTCAGCCTCATCTCTGTATCGTGGGGCCTAGAAGGGGCCAGGCACAGAGGAGGCACGCCGAGGATGTTTGCTGAATGAACGAATGATGCCTGAAGGATGGAGGAAAGGGACAGCTGTGAGCCGAGGCAGTCTGGGAAGTCCTAGGGCAGAGGTGCTGATGGAAGGATCTGGAAGATAGCCCATCATGTGTGCTCCAGGGCTAAACTCCTCTGGCTTTTTAGAGAACTCGTAACAACGGCAGTTGTTTTCTCTGATACCCGAGCAGCCTATTCAAGGACAAACTATCCCAACTGACCTCTTTGCCAGCTGCCAGCTAATCAGTTCACACCCCAAATGTGCAAACAACATTCACACTTCAGACAATGTCTGCAGTCTTTTCTCTCCTCTCCCCATTTCTCTTATAAGCCCTATTTTTGCCTTTGTTGGATGAAATCAGTCTATTGATTGACCTCCCTTATGTGCTGGTAATGAAGGGGTTAATTAAATGTCTCTGAGATATTTTTTGACCGAGAAATAACTACCATTTATTAAAGCACTAAACCACACACACACACATATGTTTGCATATTTATAAACTGTGCAGCCCAGCAAGGTGGATGTTAATAGCCCCTCTTTACAGATGAGGAAACCGAGGCTCAGAAATCACACAACTCGCCCTGTCACCCAGCTGGTAAGGGATGGAGCTGAGCTGGAGCCCAAGCTGTCTGGGGCAACCTCCTCCCGTGCGCTCCCCACCAGCCTATGCAAGCCTCACTTCCAGTTCTCTATATCTTAAACTCAGATGCAATCGACAAACTGCTGCCCACCCTTGGGGGCAGCCCTCAGGAAGGAGGATGGGCCGGTGCCTCACCTGGCAGAACCTTGCGGAAGAGCCTTTTCCACACAGTCAGCTTGATGTCAGCCTGGTGGAGGCCTGGCTTGAAGGAGATGGGGCTGAACACGCCTTCCAAGGGCCGGGCCTGCTGGAGATCTGCTCTGGGGGCGACGGTTCACAGTGATGGTGGAGCTGCATCCTGTGCACCCCACCCCTGCGTCCGGATGCAAGTCCATCCAGCCAATCCCAAGCCCAGAAGACCATACACGCAAGACACCCATCATTTCCTCCCGCCACCCCACTCTCAGAGGACCTGCCTCCTTCCCAGAAGGGTAAACGCCACATCAGTGGTTCTCAAACCACTGGGACTGGCAACATCACCCACTAGTTAGAAGGGGGGCTTGTTAGAAATGCAGATTTTCTTGGGTCCCACCCCAGACCTGCTGAATCAGAAACTGATTACTGGGACGCAGTGCTCAATGCTTTAACGAGCCCTCCAGGTGCTGATGTACGCTAACCTCTCTAATTCAGGTGACCCCAGCTCCTAGCCACAGCTGGAGTGGACACCTGCTCCAAACTCAGCCAGTGAGATTCTGTCCATTCATTTAAACCAACGCTCCTAAACGGGTTGTCCTTAGAACTAAAGGAAATTTGAGGAAACAAGAAGACTCTCCTAAATGGGTCTGAGAAAGGCCCAGGAACTCATGGATTATTCACGTTAGGGACTAGAACGTGCATCCCATTCCTGCCCACCAGCCGCAGTGCGGGTTTCGAGGCCCCTCATTCCGCCCATTACCCACGTCTCATCTCGTACCTCATCTCCCATTCTGCCCTGCGTCATACTTTATGCCTGGGTACAATGAACTTCTCACAATACTCTCAAGTCTGTACCCTACTTCACCCTTTCACGTGGCTCTGCTTGCCTGGCAAACTCCTGTCCTCTGCCCTTCTCAGCTCTCCGTCCTGGGCACTGTCACCTCTTCCTCTGGATGTTTCTGTAGCTTGTGTGAACCTGTACTGTTCTAGTGCCCACGGTGGTGTAGCCACAGCTCACCGTCTGCCTCCCACCAGTCTTTGAGACCCTGAAGGCAGGGACGTGTCTTTCATCTCTGTTTCCCTTGGGCTCAGCACAGAGCCAGATGTGGGCAGCTGCTCCCAAGGCCCTGGGGAAACTGAAGGAGGAAACTAGTGGAGATGAGATGCCCGTGCCCGCAGCCACCAGACCCTCACTGAGAGCTCCCTCCGAGGTTATTACCTGGAGACCATGGAGTGGTACTTCTGGAAGACAAAAGAGAGGTGGGTTAGGGTATGGGGGAGACTAGGCAGAATCTGTGGGGAAGGGGGAGACTCTTGGGACCCTGGGGGCCTCATCATGGGGGACTCTCCCTTGTCCACTCACCCGGATGAACTCGTGGTGACTCTCGTTACTGAACTGCTCCAGCACAAGCTTGGTCTGGACCAGCCGCTCCCGAGTGCCCCGGGCCTGCTCCAGCTGCATGTCCAGGGAGGCCACGAGGCCCCGGGTGTGACCCTCCACCCCCTCCAGACAGTGGGCCTTCTCCTCATCTACCAGGTGGTGCAGCTCCTGGAACTCTCGGCGAATCACCCAGCTGAAGACATCGGACTCATTCTGGGACAGGGAGGGGCTGGTCACAGCTGGAGCCTCAACGAGCCACCTGGCTATGACTGACAATGTCACCAGAGCCTGGCAGCTTAGGCCTTCCTGGGCCTTCCTGACTGGGCTGGTCCTGGTACCTGAGTCCCAGGGCCGACTCCTGCCAGGGTGTTCACACTGTGCCTGGGGATCCCGGATGTGGCTGTGGGGGGAGGGCAATAGTGGCAGGAGAGAGGCTGGGCCCCGAGCTCCCACTTCAAATGCAGTGGCTCTGCTTTCATCTGTCTTGACTGTTAAGTGTGCACATAAGATTTTGCTTTATCACAGGGTTCCACAGCTGAAAAGAGTCTGGAAGGCTCTGGGAGAGCAGGCTTTGGAGTGAGAGAGCCCTGTGTGGCCGTGAGCCCTGCCCGCATCAGATGGGAGTAATGCCACCTCCTTTTCAAGGGTGAGGAGGGTTAAATGAGATAATGTCAGGGGACACCGTCTCCTGCTCCTGTTTTATGACCTCCTGCAGAGCCGGGACTCCACACCCTCCCGGTCCCAGTGTGCCTCTCATTTAGGAAAAGCAGCCAGCCACCAAGGGCTTCACACCTTTCCACGTCTGCACTCCAAGGTACTGGGACGGCACCACATAAGCTGTCAAGGTCAAGCAGACACAGGTGGCAGGGGGCGGGCAGTCACTCCCACGCTTTGGGCTGTTTACCTCTGGGACTTGGGTTCTGGGTTATCTCAGTCCCAAGGACGTGGAGGACACAAGCTGACTTGGAGACAGTCCTGACAACTGTGGTGAATTCCCCTAAGAGGATTTGCACGTTCCCCACCCCGCCCTGGAATGCTTTGAATTCTGGCTTTATATGGAAAGGATTTCTGCAAAGGACGAATGAGAACTGGGCTCTGCAGGAAAGGGGAGATGGCCAGTCCCAGGAGAGGGACAGAAGGAAAGGGCACTCACGACAATCCGGGTCCTGTTGTTCACCAGTTTGGCAATATGCTCATCCACCTTCTGCTGCTCCTGCTTCAGGTCAGAGATGAGGGCCGCAAGCTCCTCCTGGAGGCAATGTGCCATGGCCCCCTGAGCAACTGATCACTTCACCCTCTCAGCTGCGTGGGGCCAGCCCTGGGCTTCACCTTCTTGGGAGCATCCCAATGGCCATAAGCACTCCTAGTGGAACTAGGAAGCTATCCAGGTACACTTCACCCCAAAATAGGTAAGACTATTCAAGAATATTTTTGCATTGACAGCAGGAACCGCCCAGGCATGGAGAGGCATCTCTCCATGATGTGAAGAGAGATGCTAAACATTGTTACAGCCACCAGAAGTCACCACACAACATCCAAGAGGGGCGCCTGCCAATCTGAAGCCAACGTTCCCTGCATGGGATGGCGCCTGTAGGGAACCCACCAAGTAAATTCTCCGGTCACCAGCCCGTCCAGAACTAGCAGTCATCTGATCAAGAGTCAGCACAGAAAGGCTGGCCCAAGTGAGGTCAACAGCGCATAAGGGCCCAGGCTACACCTGGTGATTCCCCCTCGCTACAAAGACCTGCATCCATCCCCAGCAGGCTCGGACCCAGCCTGGATCTGGATCTGGGGCCTCCCCAGGCTGAAGTAAACTCACTTCTCCTGGGCGGCCCTGGCCCCTAGTCTGACCTAGGCCCACCATCTGGCTGTTCTACCTGCCCAGAGCCCCGCGGGTCTGCGCCCGTGGAGTGTACGGACTCTGGCTTAGACAGTTTCCAAGCAGAAGTCAGCTGCAAGAGCCTTTCAGGAAAGGAGCTGGGAAAAGAATGAAGCCAGTGTGGGGATAAACGGACACAGAGACCTGCTCGGGATCACGAGGCATCAGATCTCACAGTGGCCCGAGAAGGGCATTCCAAGGGTACCTCTCGAGAGGAGGTAGAGAGAGGTGGGACTAATTCTCTCCCGTCACCTGGGCCACAGTGAAAGGAAACAGAATTATGCAAATAAGTAAAGTAAGTGTCCCAAGGTCTCTATCAGTAGGAGAAAGCAGGAATGTGTGAAGAGCTCTGATAAAGGAAGGGAATTTAGTTGCATCACAGAGAAGAGTCTTGGGATCACAAAAAGCCAGCTCTAAAACTGGGCCCCAAGCTGTCCCCAGCTCCTAGCCAGAAATGATGAGCAAGCTCCCCCGTGTCTCCTCTCCTGGGCAGCCCTCTGCTAATAAAACGTGGGCTCGATGTCATTGCAAAGCAATTTAGCTTCTTCCTTCCACACTCCCCTAAAACTACTCTGGCCAAGAGGATCAGTTCTTACTGCCAAATCTAACAGACTTCAGTCCTCGGCAGACAGTTCACACAGGGGACCTCGTTTCCGGTAACGTGCTGGGTTCCTCTGATCCCCAGACAGCTGTACTCAGGCGGTGTTCCTGCTCCCTCTGTCAGTTCCTTCTGGGGTTCTCTCTGTACCCAGATCTTAAACCCTGGTGCTCCTTGGGGCATCATGTGTGTCTTCCCTTATCACTCTGCAGACTCTCCTCGTTGGTCTTCTCCACTCCTGTGGCTTCAGCTACCACCCATAAGTAGAGTACGCCCACTCAGCCTCATTCTCCATCTTCCCTCCTGCAGAGGGATCGGACCATATCACAAGCCTGCTTAAAACCCTCCAGTGCCCCAACCCCTACTATGGCCCACAGAATAAACCCCCAGTCCCTTCGTGTGTCACACAGGCCTTCGATGGCCTGGCTCCTGCTTACCTAGCCTGCCCCATCTCACTTCCAACTCACTCTCCCTTGAGCTTGATGGAGCAACTTTCACTTCCTCAAATAGCCATGCTGTTTGCCTCCTGGTCTTTTGCACGTGATGTCTTTGTATTTGGAATGCTTTTCCTCTTCTTTTCATATCAAGTCCTCCTTGTGGTTCAGGTCTTGGCTTAGCAGCCCACTTCCTCCAGTAAGCCTTCCCTGACCGCCCGAGACCATGCAGGACCCACATTCCAGGATCTCACCATTGCCTGTATTTAACCTGGACAGCAGCACCCGACACATGGGACTCTCTGTCAGAGCGCCAGACTGTGAGCTCCCCCAGGGCACTAGCACATCCTGGAGGCCCAGTAAACGTCCATGGGTGGGAGCGGCTGGTGGACCACCTGGTTGGCCTTGTGCACGTTTCCTACTTGCCTCCCAGGGTTGAAGGAGCAAAAAGATGCTGCCCAGAGCGCGCAGCCAGAGAAGCCCTGGATCAGCTCCCAGGGGCCCTCTGCCTGCAGATCCCCGGCTCGTTCCTCTTCCTGCCCCTCGCCTGGATTTTGTCATTCCTCACCTTTCCTCTCCCCGCCCAACACCATGCCAGGTGCCCTGTAACGATGCAGTCCCAAGAGCCCCTCCTGCCCTTCTTCATCGTTAGCGGACGAAAGAAAACCCGCCTTCGTTTGAGTCCTCGCTCTGTATGACTTCGGGTAAGACGCTTACCTCCTCCGAGCCTCAGTTTCCTCATTTGTAAAATACAATAATAACCCCACCCTTCATAAACCTGAGATCAGTGTATTAACCCAAGATGCTATCATCATTATCATTATTCATCTTAAATGACAATCTGCTAGATCTGAGGCAAAGGTCCAGGAGGGCAGGAATCCACTGATTCCACAAACACATTCTGAGCGTTGACTACGTGCCAGGCACAGCTCTAGGCTCAGAAATACCCCAGGGAACAAAGCAAAGTCCTGCCCCCATGTGCCTGAGAGTGTGGTCAGGGGAGCGCTCGAGAAACACACGAGAGATACAGAGAAAACTAAAGCAGCAGGAGGAGCTGGCACCTGACGCAAGGGGGCGCCCGCTCATGCCAGCGCGGTAATCCCCAGCACCCGGGCATTCGGGCAGCTGCGCAAAACGTGATGAATGAGTGAAGGCTTCGGGTTCTGCTCCAGGACAGGGCTGGAGCGAAATCGAGTCCCGACCCAGGACCCTTCTGTGCCGGGCAATGGCGCCAGAGAGCGCGGGAGCTGGGCTGGGTGGTCCCCCGGGGCGCCGGGCTCCCCGCCCCGCAGCAGCCTCCTTACCCACCTTCATGCGGCTGTAGACGGTGGAGACCGGCGTGACCCGGTGCTGCTGGTGGGAGCCCAGCAGGCCGCAGAGGCCGCAGATGAGCTCCTGGTCCTTCTCACAGAAGAGGCTGAGCGGGTTCCGGTGGTGTGCACAGACCGTAGGCTCTGGGTCCCCGGGGAGCTGCAGGGCTTCGATCACCCGCGCCAGGGAGACATTGGGTGGGGAGCTGCTGCAATCCACCTCCTGCCGGCACACGGGGCAGCGCAGCTCCGAGTCCAGGTGGCGGGACAGGGACACCAGGCAGCCCTTGCAGTAGGAGTGGCCGCACTGCAGCATCAGGGGCTCCTTGAAGACCTCCAGGCAGATGGGGCACTGGAGGCGGTCCTCCAGCTCGGGCACGCTCACCTGCCACGCCATGCACGGGCCGGATTGCAACGCAGGGCAGCCTTACTCGAGCCTGCTCCCTGCGATCCTCTGCTTCCAACCTCCAAGGGCCCCTAGACGTTAGAGGCTCTTAAGGCCACCAGTCCGGGATTCCAGTCCTGCCCCACTATGACCTGGGGCCTGTTTTCCATCTTTAAAACAAAGGACTTAAATAAAAGAAGTAGTCACTTGGAGACACGATTCTACATTTTTTACTCAGATTTGGAGGTCAACACAAAAGGGGCCATCTTCAGGGTCATTTGGAATGACACTAATAATGCAAACTCCAGCCCAGCAGGCATCCTGAGCTGGAGCTGGACAGCAAAAACAAGCGAAGGTCCTTCCCACCTTCTAGATCGGTGCTCAGACTGGTGGGGAACCATGGGAAGCATGGTTATAGAGATTCCTGAGTCACCCCTTCACACATCTCCAGTGAGACCCGGAAATCCACATTTACACAGACAGCCCCAGGCCGTTCTCAGGCAGAGAGTGCTGTCTTAGAACACTAGTCCAGAGAACCTGGGACCTAGGAGGGCTCTCTCCAAGTCTCCCACCCTGCTCCCCTCTGAAAACCAATTGGCACTGAGAGAGGAGAAGCACTGAGCCAGAGTCAGCAGTAGACCCCAAGAGAGCCCCCTCACTGGACCACTTGGTTTCCCACAATCCCCCAAGCCTCCCACTGGGACCTCAAACCAGCATCACTGACCCGATCCAATGGGCCTCTTCTCCCCAGGACGGGACAGCAGGCACAGAGACCTGGGGACCGCAGCTGGACGCCTGCTCCACCACCTAGAATCTGCCCCTTTCCTCCCCTGCTTTCCCAGCAACACCCCCGTGTCCTCAAGGTCATCCAGAATCAGGTGGAAACGGGGCCACATCACGGGACTGGGGAGGCAGCCTCTGCCGGGCCGGCTCTGATAACTGCAACATGCAGGTGCTCGCCTTGTCCAGGCAAGAGGGAGGGGCGGGGACAGGGGGACTGGGCACCCGTCCACACCTCACAGACCCCAAACAGGAGTAGACTTGTGCTTTGACACAATTCTCTCTGAGTCTCTCTCCTTTCTTGAAGGTATTTTTATTTACTGATTTAGATTTGTTAATTGAGGTATAACTTCTATAAAGTGCACAAATCTTATGCATACACTCGGTGCACACTTTATATACGTATACTCACTCTCCAGATCAAATACAGAACATTTCCAGCACCAGAAGGCTCCCTCATGTGCCCCCAGTCAGAACCCCTAACAAGGGCAGCCACTATCCTGACTCATATCATAGATTAACATGGCCTGGTTTTGAATGTCAAAGAAATGGAATTGCACACATAGTATGTACTCTTTTGTGTCTGACTTTTTACTCAATATTATTGAATTATGAACTTTTTCATATAAAGCCTTTCAAAGGTTTAGAAGTTCAATGACATTTTGTTATAATTAATAAATATTATGGTCATAATAGACTACACATATCATAGGGGGAGGTGGGAAATTAACTGGAAAGGACAGTGGTGGGAGAGGCTGTCCAGGAATGTGGAGAAACAAGGCACTCCGGGGCCGGCAGGCCACGACCCCCACAGGCCCAAGTGCCCAGTCTGCCAGCAGGGGAGGTCTCTACCTCATAACAAGGGAGACCTGGCAGAGGCAGGTAAAAGCTAATTTTATTTGTTAATTCAACAAATATTTGTTGAGAACCTGCTATGTGTCAAGCACTGAGCTGGGTATTAAAGATACATTAGAGAACAAGACAGACAGGGTTTCTGTCCTTTTGGAGTTTATAATATAGAGGGAGTAGGAGTGGGGTAAGGTCATAAATAAACAAGTTAATACAATAGTGTGAAAGGTTATGCAAGAAGTAAACAGTGTGGTGAGAAAGGCAGGGGTTGGTGGGTTTGTGAGGTGCACTTTAGACAGGGCAGGGCAATGTCTTTGAGGAAGGATGGTTGAGCTGTGACCTAAAGGATGCAAAGACGCCAGCCACCTGAAAGGCTGCAGGAGGGCAGACCAGGCAATGGGCCAGCAAGTGCAATGGGCCAGCAAGTGCAAAGGCCCTGAGGCTGGACAGAGCTCGGTGTTGGTGAGATACACTTGAGCGGAGACCTGGGCAGCTGGAGCACAGTAAGTGAGAGGGAACATGAGAAGACGAGGCCAGAGGGATTAGCAGGGGCTGCTCTGTAGACCAGGGCAAAGGCTTGGATCTAATCTCAAGAGCAGTGGGCGCCATTGGAGGGTTTCAAGGCAAGAGAATATCATCTGATTTATATTTTTAAAAGATCACTCTGGCCGCTGGGTAGATAATGGATCACAGTGACTTGAGCCCTTGCATGGACGGACGCTGAAGCCAACAAGTGATATAGGAGATCGCAGCAAAAAAGGTAGATGGCGGAGCCCAGAGTCAGATGTCTGAGGACCCCGGGGAGAGACCGAGTAGCCCCGTGGTCTACAGACTTCAGCAAACAACAGAAACATCTGGGAGGCTTGTTAAAACCCAAACTTCTGGGCCCCGCCCCCAGACTTTCTGATTCAGGGGCAGGCAGACGCCGGAGATACTGCAGGTTCGGTTCCAGACCACCGCAATAAAGCGAATATCACAAGAAAGCGAGTCCCCTGAAGCTGTTGCTTTCCCAGTGCATATAAAAGTTACGTTTACACTATACCGTAGTCTATTAAGTGTGCAATGGCATCATGTCTTAAAAACAACATACATATCTTAGCTAAAAAATACTTCAGTGCTAAAAAATGTTACCCATCACCTGAGCCTTCAGTGAGTGATAATCTTTCTGCTGGTGGAGGGTCTTGTAAAAACTGCGATATCTGCAAAGAGCAGTAAAACGAGGTGTGCCTACAGGGATGGGCTCAAGAATTTGCATTTTTAACAAGTTCCCAGGCAACACCGATGCTGGTGGGGAGTACACTTTGAGAACCACCGAAAAAGGCAACTGGACACAGGCACCTGGAATTCTGGTGCTCGGGGAGGCGCTACGCTGGTCACCTAAGTACATCACATATGTAAGCCTGTGGGAATGGTCAGGACCTCTCAGGGATTGACACTAAAGAAGGGAAGAGGTCTAGGAGCAGGGCCCTGAGGTTGCTAACATTTAGAGGTCAGGAAGAGGAGATGACTGAGAAGGAACAGCCAGTGAGGTAGGAGGAAACCAGGAGAGTGTGGTCACAAGAAAGCTGTGGCAGGCAGAACGGCCCCCAAAGATATCCATGCCCTAATTCTGTGAGTCTGTGAATGTGTTACCTAACATAGCAAAAGGGACTTTGAAGACGTAATTACCATCATGGACCTGAATTATCCAGTGGGGCCCATCTAATCGCATGAGCCCTTAACAGGAGAGAATTTTCCCTGGCTGGAGTCAGCAATTCAGCAGAAGAGGAAAAAAGAAAATTTCAAGCACAAGGAGGACTCGGCATGCTGTGGTTGGCTCTGAGATGTAGGGGCCCGTGTGCAAGGACCAGAAAGAGGCCTCTAAGACCTAAGGGAGGTCACTGGCTGACAGCCAGCAAGGACACAGGGACCTGTGGCCTTGAGCTGCAAGGATCTGCAGCCGCCAACAACCTGAAGGAGCTTTGAAGTGAATTCTTCCAGAGCCTCCAGTAAGGCTAACAGCTTGATTTTAGCTCAGTGAGACCAGAATTGGACTTTTAACCTATAGAACCATGAAAAAAGAAACAGGTGTTGCGTTAAACAACTAGTTTTGTGGCAATCTGTTCTAAGAGTGATAGAAAACTAATACAGAAGCCAAGAGAAAAAAGCATTTAAAAGTCGGAGTTGGGGGCTGGCCCCGGGGCCAAGTAGTTAAGTTTGCTCACTCCGCTTCAGTAGCCCGGGGTTTGCAGGTTCAGATCCTGGGTGCAGACCTAACACCGCTCGTCAAGCCGTGCTGTGGCGGCATCCCGCATAAAATAGAGAAAGTCTGGCAACAGATGTTAGCTCAGGGCCAGCATTCCTCACAAAAAAATAGAGAAGTCAACTTCATCAAATGCTGACAAGAGTCTAGTAATCTGGTGTCTCACGGATCTGGCAACCAGCGTGGCGTCGGTGGCAGGGAGCAGGGGAAAGCGGTGTGGAGGTGGGCTGAAGAGAAAATAGAGGGAGAGGAGGTGGAGACAGAAGAGTGAGAAAGCCTCCGTAGCAAGTCCTCTGAGAAGTTTTTCTGGGAAGAGTAAGAAGAGGACCGCCTGTAGCAGGAGAGCGATGCAGAACAAAGGGAGGCTTGTCCATTTTAAGCGGAGCTCTTACCACACACAGCGGCTCCAGTAGTCAAGGCAAGGTTGGTGCAGGAGAGCGGAGGTACCCAAAGGAGTCGAGCCCTTGAGCAGGCACCAGAGGAAGAACCAGGCACGAGCAGGCGGGGGTGGGATCCAGGCCACTCTTCCTTCGCACCAGGAGGGAGCAGGCGCAGCAGATTTTGTGGATTTGGTGATGGGAAAGCGAGGAACATCACCTCGTTTTCCCAGGAACTGGGTAGTTTAACTTTAAAGTCCTATCTGCATTGAAACTTCTCTGGAACGCAAAGGAGAGGGGAGGGAGGGTGGAAAAAGGTCTGTCGGAGGCCTGACTCTTCCGGCAGCAGGCAGGTGCTGAGGCCTCGTCCTCACCAGCGAGCTGCCGCCACGTGCCCCGCCGCCTGCCGCTCCGGCAGCACGTGCCCCGTTGCTAGTCCGCGCCACCTGCGGGTCTTCTGCCCTGCTCCTGTGCCACGTGCCCCATCACGCTGCGCATATCCCCGGGACAGGCCCCATCACGCTGCTGCCGTGCTTCTCACGCGCTCCATCACCCTCCGAGCATTCCGGCAAGTGCCCCACAGGGCTCCTCGTGCCGCTGTCACGTGCTCGGGCGTCCGCCGTTGGCCGGCCGTTGGCGGCGGTTGGAGCGAAGGGCTGCGCGCCCCCTCGCGCTCCCGGCCGGAATGCCGCCGGCGGAGGCAGACGGCCGGGTATAAAAAAGCAGCTGCGTCACACCTTCTGGAACCTCCGAGTGACCGCCGGGGTTGGGCCGCGGGCCGCGCGGAGATGGGGGGCAGCGCCCCCGGCCAGGTGAGGCCCCAGGGCCGGGGAGGTGGTGGGGGCGCCGCAGTCGGGGCGCGACCCTAGGGCTCTGAGGTCTGCTGTTTCGTTCCCCCCAAGTCTCCGTACCAGCGGCTGAGTCAGAGGATGCTGGACATCTCCGGGGACCGGGGCGTGCTGAAGGACGTCATCCGAGAGGGGGCCGGCGAGCTGGTGACGCCGGATGCCTCAGTGCTAGGTACCCCCTGCGCCTGGGACCTCTGTCCTCGGGAAGCTGGCGATGCAGACGGACTGGGGTCACCGGGTAGCCAGTTTCCCTGCCCTTGATCCAGGGAAGGAGGGAAGGCTGTGTTTCCAAAAATGTGTATATATTTTATAGGGTGGAACTTGCTTTCTTAAAATGTGACTTAAGAGAAAGCAAGGGAACCCATCTTCCCTTTGCGTGAGGCCCCTGTGAGCAAGGGACACTCCGGGGCCCAGCAGCCAAGCTCTCCATCCTCAGAGCCAAAGGGCAGGCATCCAAATGCAGAGCAAGGATTTTTCTATCCCTCGAGGTTAGGGGCGTTTTAAGCGCATCCAAGTCCATTTTTTTTCTGTGACAATTAGATTTGATATAGAGGTGTGGGTATCTTTGGTCCATCTTCCTCACAGTGTGTGTCTCTTCTGTCCTAGTGAAATATTCTGGCTATCTGGAGCACATGGACAAGCCTTTTGATTCCAATTGCTTCAGGAAGACTCCTCGGCTCATGAAGCTTGGAGAGGGTGAGTTCCGGTTAGAAGCCGGAAAAGAAGGGGTTGCTCGGGGAGCTGATGAGGGACGGTGCCCCGGGACTGAAAAACTGGCCAGAGCCCAGATTCTTGGAGTTGGTTTGTCTGAGGCTGGGTTTTTGCTAAACCAGCTGTGTTCTCTTCCACATTCTCCTTGGAGACCTAGGTATTTGGGAGATGGCCCACCTGGCAAGCTTATGTTTGCATTCCAGACTTGAGCATCAGGCCTTGCGTTTTTCTATGTTCATATATTAAGTAGACATGTATTGAATGCTTACTACCTACAATGTACAATGAAAAGAGCATACAGTCAAGTGATTAGAACATCTTGGCCACTGTGGTGGAGGAGACTGATCTGCATTCACAGGACTAACCTGAAAGAGTTGGATGAGTGCCTGGGAGGTATAAGCAGTGTTGTGGGAGTGCTTTAGTAAAGGCACAGTTAATTCCAGCTGGGACGATCAGGGAAGGCTTCGTGGAAGAGGAGGCATTTGCAATGAGCCAGGCAGTTTGAATAAGATTTCAGTCAGGGTAGAACTGGGCGTGGGGTGAGGAAGACACTGCAGGAAGAAGGAACCGCATGAGCAAAGATGGTGAGGCCAGAATGGTGCAGAGCCGGGGAAGGGGGAGTTTAGGAATGGTGGTGGTCGTCAGAAACAAGCCTGGAAAGCAACTTGGGACCACCATCCAGAAGGCTGGGACTATCGTGGAGAGATTTGGACTTGAAGGGGGAAGCAATCGACAGCATCGGAACAGGACGCAGGCAAGCTTCCGGCTCTTTACCCCTTCCTGCAGATATTACCCTTTGGGGCATGGAGCTGGGCCTTCTGAGCATGCGGAGAGGGGAGCTGGCCAGGTTTCTGTTCAAACCAACCTATGCTTATGGAACGCTGGGCTGCCCACCGTTGATACCCCCAAACACCACCGTTCTGTTCGAGATCGAGCTGCTTGACTTCCTGGACTCTGCTGAGTCAGACAAGTTCTGTGCCCTCTCGGCCGTAAGTTCTGGAGCACAGATGACAGCCCTTTAGAGACGGGGAGGGGGAAGGGTTTGCGTGTTTGATAATTATCCTGTCCTTTGAGGGCCCTCTGCCCCAGGGTCCATCCCCAGGCTCCTGCGTGGTGGTGGTGGAGGAGTTCCCCCACTTTCTAGTACCTGTCCAGCTTAGTAATGACTCTTGCACGTGGGTGAATGTTCTAGGCCAAGGTCAAGCTGTAGGTTGTTACGGACCAGCAGTTTGAGCTGATCTTTCAGTCACCCTTTGCCTAGTTCTTCCTGCAAGTCAGTGAACGTTTCCTTCCCAACACTGTTTGGTTTCCAGCAAGTCAAGTGTAGGTCTGAACTGGGGTGACCATATAATTTGTTGTCCAAGCCAGGACGCTTGTGAGTGAAAAGGGACTGTTAACTGGATGGGATATGAGGACATCAGGCGTAAACTGGGACAGTCTCAGGCAAATTGGGATATATGGCCTCTGTGGTCATAAATTAAATGTTGCCTTTTCTTCGTAGCCTTTCCCTTAAGACATCCCATAGAGACAGGGCTTCTCATCTCATCAGCATCGTATGCATTCTTTGTCATGCTGTCTCACACAGACTGTATATGTGGCCTGAGATGTCCACCCCAGGATGACATCTGTATATGATGCCTCCCCAGCTAAACTGTCGCACCCCAGGTGAAGGATCTTACCCTTTTCTCATCTTCCCACAAAACAGAGGTCCTTGGCGTGTGGTGCTGAGACATCTGTGTGTAAAAAGAGACGCTTTGGGTGATTGTCACGTATACCCAGTGTAGAGCATCATGGCCGTAAGGACCAGCAGGGCCCTGGGCAGACCACACCTGGTAAATGCCCGCTGGATAAGTGGTAGTCGTGAGTCCTGATTTCTCTGCTCAGCAAGTTCGGTCAGTTCCTAAACCCATGGCAAACTGCTGCTTTAGGGAGCACCTCTGGGAGGACTACAGAAGGAGATCTCCCTTTGGCTCTAGTCTGTATAACAGGGGCAGTAATGACACCGACCTGCTGTCATGGAGATGACCTCTGCAGAGGCACCTGGCGCACACACGGCAGTAGACAGAAGCCCACAATCTGCAGGAGGACTAGAGCTGTGGTCACGCTTGCATCGTGGTGTTGTGGCTTTGTTTCCTCACTGGTGTCCTTGTCTTTGGTCCTCAGGAGCAACAAGATCAATTTCCGCTTCAGAAGGTCCTGAAAGTGGCAGCTACTGAACGGGAGTTTGGCAACTACCTTTTCCGCCAAAATCGTTTCTATGACGCCAAAGTGAGGTATAAACGGGTAAGACTTTCAAAGGATAGGTTTAGACCCTGAAACTTCCTTGTTTGAAAGATAGACTTTGTCTCTTTCCCTGGTCTTCCCTGGTCATATGCAGCCATTGAGAAAAATCTCATTAAAAAATCCTTGTGCCAGAGAGCTAATGACTAAGAGAGGGGACCCAGGATTTGAAGGAGCCTGGTAATGTTCTGGGTGTGGATCTGGATGTGGTCACATGGGCGTGCTCAGGCAGTGAAAATTCATTGAGCTGTTGAGCTGTACACTTATTTTTGTGCTTATGTGTGTGTGTGTATAAATTTGCACATATCTGTGTGTATGTATATACATATATACTTCAATAAAGAGTTTTTAAAAATCTTCCCAGTGTTAGGTCCTCTGCCAGCTGATTTCTCCCTTCGTTTGCCTCTTCATTTCATGTCTCTCTGACAGTGGAGATTCACCTGGCTGTCCGAGGTGACTCCGTTCTCACTCAGCTTCTGATTGTGACGGGGCCTCTCGAGCAGGTTATGCTGACAGGAACTCACCGTTTGCCTTGTAACTCCTTCAGCAAATATTATGAGCACTTTCAGTGTGCCAAACTCCATGCCCTGGTTCTAGAAGCCAACCGGACGGAGTTTAGAGTGTAGGGGCGTTCTCGTTGTCTCATCTGCATACTGAGCCTAAATCATTCATGACTTGCTTTCAGCTGCAAGCAACAGAATCCTGAAAACCACATGTGCTTTAAATCGACTAGAGACTTAATTTTCCCTCACATGAGGAGGGAGGCGGCCAAGGCGGGTGTGTCAGTTCCAGAGCCATTAGCAATCCAGGTTCCTTCCGTCTTTCTGCTCAGCTACCCTTAAATGTGTTCCTGTTGTCTTTGTTTTCTCCCAAGGTGGTCGTTCAGGCTATAGCATCACGTGGTCATCTGGGCAGGAAGAAAGGAGGGGAGAGGAGTCTGATGTATTTATGTTAAGAACTTTCCAGAAGTACCTCCTTCACCTGGTGATTTCCCTTACACTTCATTGGCCAGACTCACGTTAAAGGGTCGCCCTTAGCTGAATTGGAAGCTGGAAAATGTGGTTTAATTAGTACGTTACTGCTTTGAGTGGAAGGAGGCTCTGTTAGAGGAGGAGGGAAATGGGTACTGGGTAAGCAGCTAACAGCACATCTGCCACGTTCACTTTATGGGAATCTGCTTGAGAGACAGGGGGCGGGGGTCGTGGGGGCGTGCATGTGCTTGTATCTTTTGGAATGCTGACAAAATCAGGTTCTTCCACTTGGAAGGTACAGGCTCTGGCTCACAGGTTGAATCACGGATGCTATTACTTTGCAGAGCTGCTTGAGTGAGCGCCTGCTCACTTGAAAAAAGTTTTTCCCATAAAAAGCAGACCCCTTTACTCCTTCCAGGGTTAGTCCCGTTTCCTAGGTCTGCTCCCTGTGGCAGTCACTTTTAACTGTATCTGCTGTGTTCTCCATTTATAAATGGCATGCTTCAGTTGCTCTTTTTAACAGTCTTTGTTTCTCGTGATAGAAGGTGAGTCTTCAGTTCTCACTGTCGTGCTCACTTCTTCTGTCTTCCCAGTATTAAGGGATCATTTTGAAAGTCACTGTTGTTTCACGTTATTGAGGTTGTATGATGGATGCCTGAGCCGCGCATCCTCCGCTTACACCTCTTCCAGGCGCGGCATCCCCTTTTTGCCCTTGAGTTGCCTCTTTTTGGGCTAGTTTTCTCTGTACCTATCACTGTTTCTTCCAGAACTTTCCCACAGTAGTGGAAAGCCCCTTTCCCCGCTATTCTCCATGTGATCAGGCCTCAGTGTCCAACAGTCCCATGTTTTTCGGGGGATGTCCCCACTGGAGCCCTGAGTCAGATGGGAGCGCTCTGGGCCCTGCACAGCTCTTGTCCTGGGGCTGCCCTGTGATTCTCTTTTGTGGATTTCCTGTTGTTTCTCTCAGTTTACTCCCTTGCATGTCTAAAAATATTCTTATACTTTGTATTTACCTCACATTTAATAAGTAGCATAAAACTGAGTATAGAATTCTAGGATGCAGTCACCATCCCTCAGATTTTGAGGAAGAATATTCTGTTCTAGCTTTCAGAATTGCTATTAAGAAGTCTGCTACCATTTAGGTTACTGTTCCTTTATATGTGACCTTTTTTTTTTCAGTAGAGATTTAAGGATCTTTTTTCCTATGGTGTTCTTAAATTTTTCAGTGGGGAATGTGAGGGTATTTTTAAACTTGTACTGTGCCCTTGGTGAATCATTTCATTCAGGAAATTCATCCTCAGCTCTCAGATACTTTCCTGAGCTATTTCTTTGATAATTTACTCTCGTTTCTGTTTTCTGCTTTTTCTGGAACTCCTTGTTAGTTGACTATCAGACCTCCTGAATTGACTTTCTAGTTTTCCTTTTTTTTTTTCCCTCCCAATTTTCATCTTTTCTCTTTTTTGTTCCACTGTATGGGAGCTTTCCTTGACTTTATTTGCCATCTCTGAGTTTTTCTTTAACTTTGAAGGGCTCTTTGTTTTCTTTTTCCAGCCTTCTGTTCTTTTTTCATGCGTACATTATCTTATCTCTTTAGACATTGATTATAATTGTTTTCTTCCCTCTGCATCTGAGATTTTTTAAAATCTCAATTCTTTTTATGCTTGATTTTTCTGTCCATTAGAGACTGTCTTTTTATATTCGGTTTGGTGGCGAGTCACAGAGACTGATAACAGCAGTGACCTAAAGACAGGTCCTCCTTTCTCATGTGAAGTGCTTGAGGTGTACCCACAGGGGCTGGTTGGTTGGTGCTCCGCAGTGTTCTCAGGTCCCCGGGCTGCTTCTGTCTTACTGTCTTCCCATTTCTGGTGGGGGACTCTGCGCTTGTGGGTCAGGATGGGGGCCTCTAAGTTCCAAGCAGCAGGAGGGGCGAGAGGGCTGAAGGCATGTATCTATGACACTCATACTGAGTTACGTTTTCCAGAAGCTTTTCTCCTGGCCAGAACCAGCTGCAAAGAAGGCTAGCAAATATCTGTGTTCTGGTTGAGTTTGTGCCCAGCAAGAAAATCCTCTCCCTGTGGAAGAAGGGGAGAATTGCTTCTACAAGACAGGAGGCCACCTCTCCCACAGGAGCTTTCCTCAAATGTCTGGTGATCTCTGACTGTCCTCTGGGGTTTGAAAGAGCATCAGAAGTAGACTGGAAACTCTGGGGCTTGGTGGGGCAGACAGCAGTGCTGTCAGATAGCACTGGGTCAGCGTGCATGCGTGTGCAGCGTTTCCTCTGGGGGGCGCTCACCTCTCCTGCGTCTGCTCAGTGTAAATGCCTGGCTACCAGTGTTCTGGGAGCTGAGCCGAGGAACAGGAGAGAGGGTCACAGTGGCTGTCATTGAGACTGTCCTCTAATACCCATTATCAGTATTCCTCCTCCTTGCCCTCTGCTCTGTCTGCTCTCCCTGAGTCGAGAGCCCTTGGGTTCCGTTTCTCCAGAAAATAGACTTCCTGATTCCTGAGTTTTGGGACGGGGTGGCCATCTGGACGCATAGGGACAGGGAGGGGGAGGGAACATTCACCCTGTCCTCCTCTATTCAGCGCCGCTTCTACCCTCAGAAAGCTCTGACTCCTAGTTCCGTTGGTTCCCAGAGCTGTCAGGGCTCCGAGCTGCAGACCAGCCCCTCGTATGCTGGTGCTTGGCTCTGCCAAGTGGGTCACGATGCTGCCGTCGCCCTGACATGTCAGCTTCGTTACTGGTCCCCTCCCCGTCGGTTGTTCTTGGACAACGCCTTTCTGCTCCTTAGGGCAAGAGAGAGCAGAGGATGTGTGTGAAGTCAGCCTCGCTCAGCCAGAAGCTTTGCGTATCTTTTTAGAAATGTCCTCAGTCTTTAGAGAAGCAGATGAGCATTGATTGAGCGCCACTTTGTTTCCAGGCTTTTGCTCAGCCCTGTGTGGGACACACACAAGTATCAGGCAGGGTCCTTGTCTCAAAGGATTTTGATCTAGCTAGGAAGACAAAGTGTAGCCCAGACAACTAAGGCATACCTGTGGTACCTAGTGCTGGAGCTTTTAAGAGAAGAGGAAGCTTTTTGGGGCTAGAGCATCTAGTAGCGGCTTCTTAGAGGAAATGGCACTTGATATGAATCTAGAGGGATAAAATGGCAGACAGACAGAGAGGAGGAGAGTAACTCCGGGCAGGAGGAAAGAATGAGCAAAGGTACAGAGGTGAGCAGAGCCTCCTCGGGCCCGGTGGAGACCTCGTCTCAAACACAGCTTACGGTGGAAGCGTAGCAGGGAAACAGGCGAGGGAACTGCATTCGGGAAGGTGTTTAAACATACATGGGTGGCTTTGGACTTCATGAAGAGGATAGAAGGGACCCATTGGAGGAGAGGGAGTTGATAAAAGTAATATCTGGGGAAGGGGCGCTAGTTAGTAGCATGCTGGGCGCGGCGTGCTGGGTTCACGGGAGCCAGCTGTAAAACGTTCAGGAATTTTTGACGCTGGTTAGTGTTACTTTGGGAGCTTGAAATCGGCCACGGTGGGAACAATGACCCCACAGGAATAGGCAGACACTACCGGGCCCCTCATCCCACAGGAGCTGGTTGTTGCACACTCGCCAGCACACTGCCACGTGCAGGACGTGTCGAAGGGGCAGACTCCGTTAGTGAGTGTCTGACCGTGTCAGGCCTTGTGCCAGGTGGGTGGCAGCTGACAGCCTTGCAGGGATCCAGGAATGTGTTTAAGATAGTGTGAGTTGTGCAAATTGAAGAAAATTCTGGAAATATTTTTTAAAAATGCGTGATTAGACTTGATGAAGTTTTATATATAAGTAACGAAGGAAATGAAGAATGGCATTACTTCATGCTTTGTGGTCTGAGAAAATCTTAAAAACAGGAATAACTGAGAGAGAAAGTGTTCATTTCAGTTTTGGTTACTAATGAGAATGGCTGGTACCGGTGCCTTGTGGAAGACCGTCTCCGGGGGCAGGTTGCTTCATGACTCAGCTTAGGTGTGGGAGCAGGGTGTGGTGGGAGCCTGGTTGGTGACAGGGGACCTGAATCAGTGCAGATGGTGTGAAGGCGACTGACAGGAACTTGTGTGATGGATGCCCAGGCGGAGAGATGAAAGGGAAGACAAAGGAGGGCTCATCACTGTCTGCCTAAAATACCATCTTCTGACATATTTCCAGGTTCCAGCATCTTCCAAGTGGAGTCTTCTCTATTAGCCGCATTCACACTACGCAGACTCTGCCTTCATGGCTCTTTTCCTTTACTGTTGTTGTTGAGATATGATTCATATACATTTCACACTTTTAAAGTATATAGTTTAGTGGTTTTTAGCATATTCACAAGTTGTGCAACTATCACCACTATCTAATTCCAGAACGTTTCATCATCCCAAAAAGAAACCCCATACCCATTAGCAGGTACTCGCCATTTTCCCCATACCCCCTGCCAACTCCTGCTTTACTTTCTTTTTCTATGGATTTGCCTATTCTAGATATTTCATGTAAATAGTCATCAAATATATGGTCCTTTGTGTCTGGCTCACCCATGTTGTAGCGTGTATTAGTACCTCATTCCTTTTTAAAAAGTATTTGTGTTTTAATTGTGGTAACATAAAATTTGCCATTTTAACCATTTTTAGGTATATACCCAATGGCATTAAGTACATTCACAATATTGTGCAACCATCACCAGTACCCATTTTCAGAACTTTTTTATCGTCCCAAGTGGAAACTCCTTACCCATTAAACAATAATCGCCATTCCCCTCTCCTCAGCCCCCGGTAGCCTCTCTTCTGCTTTCTATGAATTTGCTTATCACAGATACTCATAAGTGGAGTTATACAATATTTGTCTTTTTGTGACTGGCTCCTTTCACTTAGCATGTTTTCAAGATTCACCCATGTTGTAGCGTCTACCAAACTGCATTCCTTTTTAAGGCTGAATAATCTGTTGTGTGGATCCGACCACCTTTTGCTTGTCCATTTATCACTTGGTGGACATTTGTGTTGTTTCCTCTTTTTGGCTGTTGTGAATAATGTTGCATGAACATCTGTATGCACGTTTTTGTGTAGACTTTTCAGTTCTCTTGGGTGTGTACCTAGGAGGGCAGTTGCTGGGTCATATGGTAACTCCATGTTAACTTTTTGAAAAACTGCCAAACTGTTTTCCATAATGGCTACAGGAGTTCACATTCCCACCAATACAAGGGTTCCTCACCAAAATGTATTCTCTATTTTTTAAATTAGAGCCATCCTAGTGGGTGTGAAGTGGTAGCTCATTGGATTTTCAGATCAGCTTGACCATTTCTGCAAGAAAGGTGGTTGAACTTTTGCTAGTGGTTGCGTTGAACCCGTAGATGAATTTGGGGAATATTGCCATCTTACAGCATTGTCTTGTGATCCATGAATGTGAGATGTCTTCATTTATTTGGATCTTCTTTGATTTCTTTCAACAATGGTTTGTAGTTTTCAGTGTACAAGTCATATACTTTCAATTTATTGCTACTTATTTGTGATGCTATTGTAAATGGAGTTATTTGCTTAGTTTCATTTTTGGATTGTTTATTGCTAGAGTATACAAGTAGGACTAACTCTCATGTCTTGAGCTTGTGTCCTACAACTTTGCTGAACTCATTTTTTAGTTCTAATAGTTTGTGGTGGATTCTTAGTTTTCTGTGTGTAATATTATGTCGCTAACCTTGCCACCCGTCCTTCCTCTCCGCAGGCCTTGTTGCTTCTCCATCGGCGGTCGGCACCCCCTGAGGAGCAGCACCTGGTGGAGGCCGCCAAGCTTCTTGTTCTCCTCAACCTGTCCTTTACGTACCTGAAGCTGGAGCGACCCACCACGGCCCTGTGCTATGGGGAGCAGGCTCTGGTCATTGACCAGAAGAATGCCAAGGCCCTCTTTCGCTGTGGACAGGTGCGTTGGAGGGCAGGGACTTGGGAATGAAAGCTGCATTTGGGCACTGCAGAAATGCTGTCTTTCCTGACTTAAGTGTGTTGTTAAGATTCTGACCTTTGACAGGCCTGTCTCCTGATGACTGAGTATCAGAAGGCCCGGGATTTTCTAGTCCAAGCCCAGAAGGCACAGCCCTTCAATCATGACATCAATAATGAGCTGAAGAAACTGGCCAGGTGAGATATGTGTTTGTGGGAGTGCGAACAGGAGGAGAGGTGTGATGCGCCCGCAGGTCCGTCCGTCCACCTGGGCGAAGGGCTGTCTGGGAGTGTGGCCGGCGCGCGTTGTGAGGCAGCGCCCCCTGGAGCTGGCTTCAGGAAGTTCTCAGTGCTCTAAGTCAGCAGCTCCCAGCGGCAGAGGCGAGGTGGGACAAATGTCCAAACTACACGTCTGGATCATTTCCCGCCTCCCTGTTCCCTCTTCCCGTGCCCCAAATTAGCACATCTCAAAGGGTGAGCCAGCAAACTGCTTAAAAAGGGCCTTCGGGTACTCTTCCCTACCTACCGCCAGCGGAGAAGCACTGTACTCAGCCGAGCGCGGAAGGGGGTCTTGGAGATCCTGGTTTGATCTGAAATGGGTCATTCAGGTCTGATTCACACCCAGAGGGGACTTTCTTGTTACCCAAGTGACATCTGTACTGGCCCTTTGGTAATGTAACCTCTTCTGATTACAGCAGTTCTGTGTTCGTTGTAGAAAACTTTGAAAATATCCACACACACACAGGAGTCACCCATAACGCAGTGACCTTTGTAATATTTCTATTGTTTTTTAGGTATTTCTTTGTTATTCTGTATTGGTGAGATTCTCTACTCCTGTTGACATTAAATATTCAATCCAGGTTGCTTTCTTGACATTAAAAAAGTCTGAAGCGTGTGCGCCTCATGTATTTGGATTCCTTTGTTACATGTCAGGCCTTTTAGGACTGTCCAGCAGTTTCCTTTCTGGTATTTAAAAGTATCCCGTCAGGTTAGATGTAGGAATTTTGAAATCTGACCCTTCTTTAGCAAGAAAATCTCAAGATAAGTTAGAGGCCATTGTGTGAGGGTCACTTGGCGACATTCAGCCTGGCAGCCTCCCCAACAGTGGCTCCCCGCCATCAAGGCTACTGTCTTTTCCGATGGTGGGCTGCTTGTCTGAGGGCTTCCTGAGCACCCCTGGGGAGCCTGGCCTGTCTCCCCGACCCCCCCAGCGTGGCTTCCACCCCCTCCTCACTCAGTTCAAGGCCTGCTGGATTTTCAGCATTTTTGGTCCTGAGTGGAGAATTCTAGCCACCAGGTGTCACCTCCTACAAACACAGGCCTTCTCTAACCAGTGTGTTTCTCTCTGTAGCTGTTACAAGGACTACACGGATAAAGAGAAAGAAATGTGCCACCGAATGTTTGCCCCTTGTGATGATGACTCTGCAGTAGGAGAAAACTGAAGGTAACCAAAGGGCTGGAGCATAAAAGGCTTTGGGGTTTTGAGCAGTCTGTAGAAGTACGGTGGTCCTCCTCAGCGCTAGTGAACGGTACCTGTCTGCAGCTGAGGATGGGCAAGAAGAGTAGACAAATTCCCTGCTGAAGCTAATGACACAGTTATAGTGCAGAAGGCACAGACAGGGGCCTTCTCCTGGAGAAGATCAGAAAGTCCATCCAGAGCTGGAGGTTAAATGTATAGGTTTGGGAAGCCTTAAGCTTTAAATTTAAAAAAAAAGAAATTTCTGTTAACCTCTCCCTCATAGTAGCTTGGAACATGAAACCATGAATATGGTCATTAATGTGATGGTTTATCTGGGCTTTGAAATGAAGAGTAATGCTTTTCTTAATCTGGTTTTTCCTGAAAACCTGGAAGCCTCCAACCTCACTTTACATTTAACAGATTGTTAAAGACAAAATCTAGAGGTCGAGGGCTGCGCTGGGCCGCCGCTCCTCAGAGCTGCCCGCTGAGTCAGCAGGCACAGGGTTAAGGTTCCCCGCGGTGCCTGAGCTAGCTCTCCGGTCTGGTTTACTGTTACTGCAGAAAATTAATGGAAACAAAATCACCTGCCTTAAACACCTGCTTAGCCGGCGAGATAACTCCGCTCTCTTGAGAGAAGTTAAACAAGGGACAACAAGCAAACAGCTGCCGAATGGGCTCTTGGTGATAAATCTCTCCTTTGTTGCCACCTTCATCTCTCCACAAAAGAGGCTTGAGGGGAGAGGGCAGTGAAAAGGCCCATTCATCCCAGACGTTTCCACAAGTGGGCTGCAAACCGCGGCTCCCCGCCCTGTCAGAAACACCCAGTCGGTCTCAGAAGTAAATGTCGCCTTCATCACTGACCCTGACCCTGTGCCCCGGCCTTCAGGTCTTTTGGGGACACTGGAGTATTTGCAGGTCTTCTGGACTGAGACGTGAGCCAGAGGACTTCTCTTGCTTGGCGACTGTTAAGATCCCCTAGAAGTGGAGGCCTGGCCCTGTGATCTGGCATGTTCTGCCGTCTAATGAAGATCCAGTTCTTCCAGGCTCCGTGTCAGAAACAGACCTTGGAAAACCCAGCAGGGCAACACGCTTCCTCTCCGTCGTCATTACTCAGCTTTAAGTTTGTCAGATTCTTTGGAGCCTGATGATTTCGCATCTATTCCTAAGTCTGGACTCTTTTCTTGCCCCCAGCAGTGACTGTACTGGGGTCTCACATGGCCTTGAGCATACTCCCACCACTGCTGAGGTTGTAACGTACTTTGGCTTTTGTTTTGTTGGGATTCTCTCTGCTGCCCTTTTTTCTGTTGTACTTGTGCCTAGGTCGTCATTTAAAATGTCCAGGTTTCTAGATTCTTTTGACAACTTAGTTTTGACCAACTAGAGCCATTTAAAATTTGTTCTTGTCTTCCAAGATGTTCGATACTGCTGACCTGTCTTCATCTCATCTTCTAAGATGTTGGACACTTCTGGTGGAACACGTGTGCTCTTGAGTCTATTCTCTAAGCCTCGGTTATAGTAGACTGAATTTTTTGAGATCAGAGGCCATTTCTTTTTCATCTTGTATTTTCGAGCATTTGGAACCATGTCTGGCACGTGATCGGCACTCAGTAAATGTTGGTTGGATCAAGTATGAAATAGCGGAGATGCCAGACCAGCATCTTTGAAACCATGCCTTCCGGGCCAGCTCTTGTATTGGCTGGCAGGACTCTTGTTATTGCCAGTGACAGAAACCCATCTTTGGTGTCAGCTGAAAAAGAGATTTGCTGAAGGGATGCTGGGGTGGCTCACAGAATCGAAGGAGGTGTCGAACATCCAGTACTCAGGCAGGTAGAGACCTGCGGCTCTGAGTGCCTCCGGGACTCAGTCTCCTCTCTGCTTAATTCTCTCCCACCGTAAGGAGGGCCAGGCGTCCATTTCCACAGCCTTTCCACTCAAGAGAGGACTCTTCCTTACCCCCGTCTCCCTCCTCCTCTTGTACCAACCGTAGCTCCAGTTTGCAGGATCCTGAGGCAGGACTCCGGCCTGGTTTGGGGCGTGTGGAGTCCCCTGAGTGGCACACCCCTTCCTAGCACCGCATCGTGGGAACTGGGGGAGCATGATCATCCGCAGTAGGAAGGCTGCTGTTCCCAAACAGCAAGGGCACGGAGACGATGGGGAGCTGCCTGTTGAGGATGTTTAGCTGTTGCCACCCTCGCTGCCCTGTCGAGTGTGACCGTTAGTCCTGCCGTAACGGAGCAGTAGGTCACTTGCCAGCCTGGGGAGTTGGGCCTCTCTTGCACCGCCTGCTGCTGGCTCTCGACGGCGGAAGGAGCAGTCGCGTCCCTAGTTCTGCCACACCATCGTTTTCCTTAGTTTGGATTTCCAGAGGGCGTGGCAGACACACACACCTCTGGATGGGAGTATTCTTGGGAATAATCTAAAAGGTCAAGGCAGAGGTCAGTGTTTTAACTCATGTGCATCAGAAGACTTGAACGTTTTTATAGCAAAGGCCATGCTAATGTTTGATAAGCTGCATGAAGCTGCTTTCCCTGTGGTTTGCAGTGCGGTGGAGGCAGCATTCCTGTGTGTGTGTACGCTGCAGTCAGACTTCCGTAAGTGGGCATCTTCTACCTACCTGCGCGGTTGAGACCTCATCTTGCTCCGTCCACAGTAGTAGCAATTTCACCAGGGCCACCAAGGAGCTCTTAGAACAGATGCCGTCACGTTTGGAAACACTGGAGTCGTGTGCTAATGTTTTCCTTAATTCTGTTCCGTGCCTTTGTCATCTTCAGTGTTTGAGTTGTGTCCTTCCTATCGCGGCATGCTAGTGTCTGAGACCTTCGCCCTGCTTTTGTGATGTCTGGAAAAGAGAGAGAAAGTGAGCACTTCAGCTGTGTTCAACCATGTAAGAGGTTGATGTACAGTAGGTGAAGTTTATTCTGTGGTTTCCAAAGGGCAGGACCAGCAAGAACACCTAATAGGAAGACAAAATTTGGCTTGATATGAAAGATTTACTAATTAAATGTCTTACCATAGTGACATTAAGCTCTTCCAACATGGCGAGCACACAGACAAGGTGCCGCTGTTGGCTGCTTGTGGAGAATGGCCTTGCAGGGAGCACCTGCTCCCAGACCAAGCTTTCCCACTGTTTGGGTGTGGGTCGTCTTGGGAGCTGGGGCATTCCCTGTTAGGCTCTGTCTGAGCAGCTCTAGAGGGCCCCTTAGAGGTGGGTGACGTATGAGGTTAGATGACCTTGTTTGTCCTTCCAACTCGAATGTTTTGTCATCAGGCCCTTGCAGACTTGCAGAGGATGGCAGCTTGCATCCTTAAAGCAACTCTAGTAGAGAGAAGTATGAAGTCCTACACTCAGCATCGAAAACAACCACACAGGGAAAGAAGTGGGAGAGACCCGGCCCAGGAGCTAAGCTGTTGGTGCCCACTGGTCCAGAAGGTGCCAAATGTAAGGCATGGCTCCAAAGAAAATGGCGCCCTGAAGGAGGGTGGAGGAGGTCCTGCTGCACCACCGACGGCGCCTTCGTTACCCACGCCTTCCCCACGCCTTCCCCAAGAACCCTTGAGAGCTGCCTGTTTTCAGGCACCATGGGGGGTGCTGTGCGGCGGTGAGGAGATCTGGTCAGCAGGGGGTGGTGCTCTGCTGGGGGAGGGGAGAGGATAATCAGTGGAATCAGAGTAGACAAGAGGAGTGCATGAGGGGAAATACCTTGATCAGAGAAAAGCTTTGCTGAGCCAGTCCTGAAGGAGGGGTAGACTGGGCCCAGGGAGGGAGGAGTGGGGGTGGGGGAGGGGAGCAGAGAAGACAAGGGGCTCAGAGCTGAGGTCATTGTCCTGGCATTTCAGTTTTCTTGGGAGTGCGCGCTGTGCTCTGCAGGTATCAGAGGAGGGCAAAGATGCGTTCAGAGCTGAGGTGATCTGACAGGCTTGTGTAAGAAAGTTCTCAAGGGGCTGGGGAGGGCACATTGGAGGTGCAAGGTCTGGCAGGTGGCAAGTGTGAGAGAGGAGATGACAGCCTGGAGGTAGAAGCACCGGCAGGGACGGAAAGCAGGCAGGAGCATGAGGCCTCCCAGGTGGGACAGACGGGAGAACGCTTTCTCTCACAAGAATTCTGGTGACAAACGGGAATCTAGCTGAAGGAGGGTGACCAGAATGCCGAAGGGTCTACAAGGTGACCTGTGGGTGATGGAGGAAGGGACCGAAGCTATATATTATGAAGAAAAGCAGCTTTAAGTTGGGGGATCGGGGCGTGGCGGAGGGGGGGAGCGGTGCAGAATTAGCAGTTCCAGGATGATCTCACACACTGAGAGTGGTGGGGAAAGCTTCCCGGAGGAGGCGGAGCTGGACGGAGCTCACGAGGCAATTGGTAGCGTTAGACCGAGGGGACTCACCGACATGGTCCTCTTACCTACACGTAGTTTTATTTTTTTTGCTTTTGGTTTGTCATATTTTGCTTCTAGATTGTTTCAATAACATTGCTGACCATTTTTGTCTTAGTTTATTTTTATTAACTTTGATCAAAGTATATTTATTAAACATTTTTTATGCCAGGCATTCTTTTACATGTTTGTGGATTGTTAACATAACATCTCTATAATGTAGATATTATCTCCGTTTTATGGGTGATAAATTAGACATGAGGAAGCTGAGTAACCTGCCAAGGTGACGAAGCTAGTAAGCGTTAGAGCTGGGGATTCACGCTCTGGCCACCTGGCCCGGAGCCACCAACTGGAAAAAAGAATCCATGCAAAGGGTCCACCAGAGGAAACCAATTTTAACTTTTGTTTCTTCTGAGGATTCTTCTGTATAGCTGAATATTCTGTATTCCATATGGCCAAATACTATGTTTCTATCACCATTTCTGGATTCTTACCAGTTTTGGACATGTATCTGTTGACTTCCTGCTGTGATATGATATGATGCCATCTCTTTCCTCCCTTATGGTTATATTACTACTTTTAGACTCTCTATTAATTATTGTAATGGAAATAATACTTATATCTGTGTCTGATTTCATAAGCTGAAGACAATATTTCCCATGCTCCACTTTGCATGATGAGAATATTACTAACTGAAAGGCCAGGGCTTTTGCTTTCCTTTTTTTTTTTCTTTTTTTTTGGTGAGGAAGCTCGGCCCTGAGCCGACATCTGTTACCAGTCTTCCTCTTTTTACTTGAGGAAGATTGGCCCTGAGCTAACATCCCTGCCACTCTTCCTCTATTTTGTATGTGGGATGCCGCCACAGCATGGCTTGATGAGTGGTGTGTACGTCCACACTGGGGATACAAACCTGTGAACCCCGAGCTGCTGAAGCAGAGCACATGAACTTAACCACGATGCCACCAGGCTGGCCTCCGTGCTTTTTCTTTTTTTAAGCTTCTGTCTTTCCTGCAGTTTCTAATTGCATTTCTTTTTTCTTCTTCTTCTTCTTCTTGAACTGTTTACCTTATCCTTATCTCTTTTAAAACTTGTGGTACCATATAGTCTGTGAATCTCCTTTCTTCTCAGGGACCTCCCCCTTGGAAATCTCCCTATCTGTGTAACCATCGGTACAGATTGTCCTGTGGGCCTGGTGCACAGCTGCTGTTCTGGGAGCTCTTTTATCTCCTGGGTTGAATCCACTATTTCCTGGATCCCTTTTCTTGGTTTACCTCATTGTTCTGATATTTTTAAGTAACATATAAAAATTGTATGTATAAGAGAGAAATTTTCCAGCTTTTATATAGCCATTTCACACTTGATTAAAAATATGTAGGCTGGGTATAGATTTTATCTTTTTTTTTTTTTTTTTAAAGATTGGCACCTGAGCTGACATCTGTTGCAAATCTTTTTTTTCTTTTTTCTTCTTCTTCTCCCCAAAGCCCCCCAGTACATAGTGGTATATCCTCGTTGTATGTCCTCCCAGCTCTGCTGTGTGGGACGCCGCCTCAGCGTGGCCTGATGAGCAGTGCTAGGCCCACGCCCAGGATTCGAACCAGTGAAACCCTGGGCTGCCAAAGTGGAGTGTGCAACCCTAACCACTCAGCCACAGGGCTGAGCCCTAGATTTTAAAATGAAAAGAGCCTTCCCCCAGCTTAGAACCTATGCCCCAGTCAGAAGCTCCCTCCCCCATTAGAACTATGTCCCTATTAGGACCTGCCCCAACTTAGAAGATCTCACCCCCTCAAACCTTGCCTCCCCTTCAGACCTCCCTGCCTCACAGCCCCCTTCCGACCCCTCCTGTCGCACCCCACCAGAACTCATCTTTCCCGTCAGTATTCCTGTCGCCTCCTAGAACCTCTCGTCAACTCCAGATGCTGGGTACAAGTCTGAGGACAGACTGTCTGTTGGATGTCATGTCTGAGAAATCTGGTTTGTTTGCTCTGCCTTGAATCTTTTAATATCTCTTTATTCTTGTTTCATCTAAAACTTCACAGTAATGTGTCCAGGCCCCCCCAGATGCTCAAGTCCTTTAGAAGGGCACCTTAATTCTAGAGGCTCAAGTTCTTAAGAGCTAAGGAATTCTTCTATAATATTTCTTTTTTCTTTTTTTTTCCCCTGGGAAAGATTCACCCTGAGCTAACATCTGTTACCAATCTTCCTCCTTTTTTCCCCTCCCCGGTGCCCCGGTACGTACGTGTATACTCTAGTCGTGAGTCCCTCTAGTTCTTCCATGTGAGCCACCACCACAGCATGGCTGCTGACAGACAAGTGGTGTGACGCCTGGGAACTGAACCCAGGCTGCCAAGGTGGAGCACCCTGAAGTTTAACCACTAGGCCATCAGGGCTGGCCCCTGATAATGTTTCTGTGATGGCGTTTTCCCCTCTCTTTCCCTGTCCTCTGGCTCTGGGACTCCTGTAGGCTGTTGTTGGTCCTCCTGCAGGGGCCTCTCTATCTTTTCTGCCTCTTTAAATCCCGCCCCCACTGGACATGTATTTAATTTTCCAATCTTACATGGGCTTTTTCCTTTCAGCAATCAAATATTCGAATCCACAAGCTCTTTTCAGATCTCCCTTTTTCATAGTATCCCAGTCTCTTTTCACATTCTGCGTATTATGAAAAATCCCAGTCTTAAGTAGAGAGACTAGTATGGTGACTGCCCCATGGACTCACCCTTTAGCTTTAACAATTAACAGCATGAAGCCAGTGTTTTCATCTTTGGCTGCACCCATGCCCTCCCACCCAGCACTGCGGGATTAATTTGAAGCAAATCCTAGTAGTCAAATCGTTTCATCCACAAGTATTTCCCTATGTATCTCTGAAAGGTAAGGACCCTTTTTGCACATTTCTTTGAACTGTTTTTCTGCTTATTTGCTTTGGCCTTTCCCTTTGCCATGTTGTTGTAGACTTCCCACAGATGGTTGGGGTTTCTTGGTTGCCTGTTCACATGTAAGAATGAAACAGGTGGAAAAGTTGACCAGGCGCTCTGTGTACCTGGGCGCAGCTGCTTGACTCATTCTTCAGGCTGAGCAGGTAGAATCCTTAAATACCAGAAGGAAGGGGCTTGGCATTGGGTATCATCTCTTACCCTAGCTTCCCAAATTTTCCTTGGGTGGATTTTTTTCCCCATAAAATAAAATAGTGGATACAAGTGCTGTATCATTTTTAGTGTGCATATCCCCAATTTCTAGTGAAGCTGAGCAGCATCTTGTACATAATGGCCAGCTGTATCCTTTATGCAAATTGCCTCTTGATGTTCTTTGTCCACTCTTCTTTTGGGTCTTTTATATTGTTGATTTGTAAAAACTTTTTTATGTGAAGGATGCGAATTTAAGGTCTGTTATGTAAGTTAGAATATCTTCTTCCACTTGTTTTGAATATTTACATAGTTACACGTCAGTGTTTTCTGTATGGTCTCTGGAATTCACGTTATGCCTACATCTGACCCTCGGGAGTCAGCAGGGTCTGTAATGAGCGAGCAGGAGTGCGCAGGGTGAAGGGTTTCTTAACAGTTCTTCCTAGAGTCTGAGCATCGTTCCGTGTCTGTGGTGCTTCGTAATGTCCGTAAACCTGTTTAATCTTCCCAACGTTCCTTTGAGGGAGAAATTATTTCCATTTTACAGATTGGGGAGGGAATCAAGCTGAGAGGATTAGAGCCTGTCCCTGTGGAGGTCTTTGTGCATATGTGTAACCAGCTGTGACCACTTTCATTTGATTTGAAGTGTAAACTCCATATGAGATGTGAAGCTTGAGATACATTCAGCTTCTTTCTTCAGTTGGAGTGTTACCACTGGGTGCCCATGGATGTTTCTCTCTCTCTTAGATGTGTAGGAATTTCTTCCCTCTTCTCTGCTTTCCATGCTTGAGAGAGGCTGGAGCCTTTGAGCGATAGAATTAAGAGGACTGAGCCATGTTGCTTGGCCAGCTCCAGGGAAAGAGTGTCTTAACAGACTTTAAAAATGTTTTCTGCGACGTCAAAGCAGCTCTCAGGGGCTCAGGTGGAAATAAAGGCCAGGCTGTGGAGAGTAC